ATGTGACATGGCAGCCACAAACTAAAATTTCTTTATTTGCTATTTTCTAATCATTGCTATAAACCAGGGTCTAAAACCTTTACAACCTAAAGGCATTTTTACTAAAGCAAAAAAAAAAAAAAGCTGCAAATGTCACAGTTTTTTTTTTTTTAAATACAACACTTTAATGTGTTTTGTTTTTGTTTATTTTTTACTTCCTTGAGTAAGACCTGGTACCATCTTTGGATGTTTGCTGCCCCCTGGTGGATAAATTTAAAAGAAATTTGTGAAACTTTCTCGTTGCATAGTTAATTTGTGAAATAACTTGGATAATGTAGTTATCACTATTTTCTGTGAAGACCACCAGCTTTTTGCTGTTGGATCTGTGTTTTACCCAATGTTGACTGAAAATCAGTTGTCAGGTTACAAAATTCTTTTCACACTAATATAAAGTTGCAGCACACAAGACACATTTGTTTACCTTTTACAATATAGAAATAACTTTTTTTTTCTTTTCAATTGCATCAACTTTAAACATTTAGTCTACCAGCATAATGCCTCTATTTCTCACAGGATTCATCAAATCTGACCTCCGGCGGCAGAAGGCAAATCAACAGGCTGAGGTGCAGCGACTGTGTGTAAGTATCTGTGTGAGGTGCTTAAGGTCTGAAATAAGGCCTGACCTGTTCCCACACTGCGACCAGATCAGGTCCCAGTCTGGCTTGGTCTCTGCAGTTTCTTCTGGCTGCTTGGCTCCAGTTTTTGTCATTGCAACATCCTGCTGGTTGATTTCTGGGGTTTCTTTGCTGTAGGGGAGAAACTTTTGTGTTGCTGTGTCTTTTAGCCTTCAACAAAAAAACACAAGCCTCCCTTCTTGCTGCTTACAATTTACAACAGATTGTTGTCAGCTTCATGGTTATGTTTTGCTTCAGAAATGGCACTGCTTTCACTGCAGCTGACTGCTTTCAGATATTTTGCGATTTAGAAATTGAATCACAAAATATCTAATATTTGGTGATTATTTTTTTTGTGACATTTTATTTCTAGTAAAATGAGCTGTTCAGTTCACTTTATTGAACTGAAAAAATATCATCTCAATGTCTGCGAAAGTCATAACATTTCAGTGAAATTTTCCATATGCCATAATGGGAATAAACCCTTATTGTATATTTTGAATAGGGAATTTGTGTACAGATTGTTTTACCTTGAGCTCAATTACTAAAACAAATTTTACAGGGATACTATATTGTCATTTTATTCTAAAGACATAAAAAGAGTAATACAAAATTTGTTCCCAAACAAAATGGATTGGCATCCAGCTGTTTGAATTTTTTCTTGGAAAAAAAAAAAAACATGTTAAAATTAACATTAATTCGCTGTCATCTGCAGCTTGCATTTTAAAACAAGCAAGATTTCTTGTTCGTTTTGCTTAAATTTGAATTAAAAACACAGCTTTGACCTAAAACGCCAGGACTCCTGCATACTTGAACTTGAGACCAGATACTTTTGTCATTGGGTTTCTTAAAAATACCAAAAAACAAAATTATTCTAGAAATTAAGTTTGATCTTAAGTATTCTGGAGTTTCTTTATTAAAGTCTATACAAAAAGATTGATGGTCTAGTTGACAGACTGCTGTAGGTGGGTGTGCAGGAGTTTCTGGAGCCACTGGTGGAGGTAATATGGTGTGAAGGATAAAGGTGACCCTCAAGGTCCCCCAGATCTTTGATACTGGAGCTATGATTACAGCCAACAGAGTCCGAGACATCAGTACGAGACTACGGGGCCACAGGAGTCATGACATTACCTCACAACTTCACAAAAATCTAAATGGATGTGACAACAAGGTAGGGTCGTATGAACAAAAACTCCCTGAAACCTCAAAGGTATGAAACTATGGCAAACTGTAGCCGTTAAACTGATGATATTCTTGTTGATGCAAGCAGAATTAGTTTGTGCTAAGTTTATTTGCATATCACATTTCATCAACAAGGGAGTTCAAAGTGCTTAAAGTGATTAAAAACAGCCGCCAGTTCTGAAAACAAGCAAACATATTATTTTGTCAAATGTCATCATCATTGCATGTCAAATATATTGGTCGGTGTTCCACTTACTAGTCAAAGGCAACTCTAAAAAGGAGAGTTTTTAACCTTGATTTAAAGAAACTGTATTTCAGCAGTATTGCAGTTTTTTGGAAGTTTGTTCTACCATAAAAACTGAGTACTGCTTCTCCATGTTTGGTTTTGGTTACTGGTAAATTTGAACCAGAAGAGCTGAGTGGTCTGGAAGGTTGATGCAACAGCAGGTCTTGTATTTTGGTCCTAATCTGCTCAGTGATTTATGAGGTAAAAAAATAATTTTTAGTTTATTATCTGAGCTACTGGGAGCCAGAGTAAGGATGTTAGAACTGGGGTGCTGTGCACTAACTTCCTGGTTTTAGTGAGAACGCAAGCAGCAACATTCTGGGTCAGCTGCAACTGTCTTTCTTTTTTCCCTTTTTTTTCATAGGGAAAAATACATTATAAAGACACATATTGCAGTACTCTGTGAAGTAAAAATTGTGTTATTTCTTTTAAGAATTTTATTTTATTTCTTTAGTCATTTAACACTAGTATTGTTTAGTCTGTTAAAACCATGTAGGTCAAGGAGTCTTTAAAGAATCAGTTAGATAGGTTTCCTTTTGACCTCTCCTTGGAAGAGTTTCAGTAGGTTGTCAGTAACTAAAATCAGGCACCAGGGTTTCTTAACAGATAACAATAAACAGGTTAGGTAATTGTAGTAAGATGGAATAAACCCTAAGGCTTAACAAATTCCTCCATTAAATGTCACAAGCTAAGGCTACGTGCTGAGTGAACGTACAAAGTCTGATAATGTTCTTGTTATGCAAAATTGTTCCATTAGTAAACCTGATTTTTGGAAATGCACCTATTTTGGAATAAAGATGTTTATCATCTGAACAATTAACTTACCCTAAGAATTAACTTACCCTGTTAAGAGTAACTGTGCATTAACCTGTTCGACTGGCTCTGGGCCAGGGAGTGACCACATTGTACAGAGAGTCCTATATATTGTGAGAGCTTGCAGCTCCAAATCAGAACTCATTGTAGGTACAGCTATTGTGCTGTGGTTACTGTGTGTTCTCTGTTTGCAAACGACTGAAATAAAGATTTTGCTCTTTGCCATTTGCCAGAGTCTCAAGCCTGATCTGTTACTACAGATTAGATATTGTTTTTTCCACAACTCAATGTGGCTATTGATAAATGAGTTTTTCTATGTCTTGCTGGGACCGTAGTCCTTTAATCCTGGAAATATTCTTCAGTTGGTAGAAGGCTGGCTTTGTAAATCTCTTTATGTGACTCTGAATGTTTAGATCTGAATTAATCACTATACCTAGTTTTATATAATCTGCATAGCTATGGTAATTAATTGATGTTCTCCAAGTTGCAGTAGTGCTTATTGTCTGCCCATGTCTCTTCCAGAAGATGGCCACTGATGTTCAAGAAGGTATTCTGAAAGAGATGAAGTTGTAAGGTGAAATGATTTCTCCTCAGAAAACCACAGAGAAGAAACAAAGTTTTAAGGGACATGTCGGTATGTGTAAACATGCCAAAATAACTACAATGCAACATGCTGCTACGACTAGTGAGTATATGGAGACTCTGTGACCATGATGGACATCCATCTTTGATTCTTTAGTATGAAGAACTGCTGCTCCTTTTTTACTGTACTGACATGCAACAACACAAAAAAATCACATTAGTATTTAAAATGCAATTTCTAAATCAACCTTAATACACATTTGAAATGCACTTTCAGCAAATGCATCACTTACAGTTCAGACGGGATCTAATTTTTTGACTCAGATCTGTTAACATTCCAACGTTTTTTTTTTTAATAACAGATTTTCATGACTTTTTAGATAATTTTAATTTAAAGAGTAATCAGAACGGGGTGTCCTAATTTTTCCACCTCAGAGTTTTCTGATTATTGTGTTGTGTGTAGCTGAACTTAAGTATTTACTCTGGTGAAGGTACCTATTTTTGTTTGGTCAGTGATCTTAAATGCAGACCATAACAGGGACGTCCTTTCGTTACATTGAGTAAGGTTCATATATCACCCATTTGCCATTAAAGGATCACCTGGTTGGTATTCTGCCAAGTATCAATACTGATTGATGCTGTGCATCAGAATACCGTACACTCACAAAGGTCAGTTTTATCCTTATTTTACAAGAGTGTCTGATTTTTTTCTTTTTATTAAATATCTAGAAGATGAAGAATTTTGATACCAAACAAGATGGATGAAAAAAGAAAATATGCCATTTTGCACACAAATGTCTTCACTGTATTTTTTTTCTAGAACAGAATATGTATACATGATATTTTAAGATTATGTGAACGGAGTTGGCACTGATTTCCGGTACTTTTTTTTTTTTTTCTAGAAATTAATGTAGAATTTCAACTTGAATGTATGACATCATGTTCTACAGCAGTTGGACTGTCATTATGGAACTTTAAAAACCAGGCTGCATAAAGGAGCCTGGCTGGGTGAATAGATGGATGATGGAAAGAGAAATGAATGAATGAAGAGATGGGTGGGTATATATTGAATTGAGAGGAGTGGATTGATACTGATGCATAGATCAATGGATGGTGGATAAAAAAAGTTGACTGGGTTTATTGATTGATGAATTGGTACTGATTTATCAAAATAGAATATCAAATGGTGTGGAAATGACTTATTTCCTTTGTCAATGTTTTGTGGAAAATGCATACATTCCATTTTTTGTGTTGGAATATTAGATGATTTAAACATTTAATCAGATCATTCTGTAGCTGTGAGAAAGTCATTGTAGAACTATGTACTGTAACACTGGCAAACATTGACTACAAGCTTTTAGGTTTTTTGTACGTTGCACATTTATATTGGTGATGATAAATATTTCTGGGCTGCTGTAATAGTGAGTTTTTTTTTTGCACTCACCTCATGGCTATATTTCTGAATCATTGTCTTTTAGTTAAAGTATTTTTCAGAATTTTAATGTGCAAAAAACATTTTTATAATGAACTTATTGGGGATTTAGGAAGCACCAGTAAATAAGAAGGATTCAAATGACCTTGGAAAAACATGACATGGGAGATGCAACAAAATACTAATCTATTAATATTAAAATTCCCATCAAATACAGGTCACAAAGAGAGGTAAAACAGGTTGCATGAGGAGCAGTTAGTAAACTTGGGCAAAAAAAACACAAATTAAAAAGACATAAATTAAACATAAACATCTTACGATAAGTTGGGGGAAGGAAAGAGATGACACAGCACCATAAAGATATGGTGACAAGAAAACAGTACAGCAAATTACATAAAAGAAAACATACTAAAATTCCAACCAATAAAACAAAAATTTAATATCTGGAGAATCAACTCGGTTTGTTTAGAATCAAATTTGATCAAACACCCAAGAATCCCCAGATAATTAACCTCTATATACTCTAGGTAACTGGGTATTTTGTTTCTACTTGAAGATAGATTGATCTGTGAATCATGAAGGACATAGGGGACGTGTTTGAATTATATATTCATCAGAAGATGCTGGCAAAAAATGTGAAGCTTAATTCAAATATCGAGCAACATGGATAATTTCCTAAAAATAATGCAAAACAAACAATTACACCTTCAGAATCAAGATTTCTGAATTGCTCTTCAGATAAATAACTTTCTTATTGCAAATTCATTAAACCTCAAGTTTGTTTCTGAGGTAAAAATCAAGAAACAGCTACTGTGTGTGTAAAACACTTTTACATTATGTAGATCTTTGGTAAGTCTGAACTGATTTTAAAAAAATGGAGATGAAGTGAAAAAATTATGTTCCAGATTACTATGTGGCTTAATCCTTTTATAATATTGCTCCTTTGAATGTTAAGTCGGCAAATCCAGAACACCCTCATTGCTGCACCGTCAACAATAAAATATATATTTATACAAAGGATGTAAAGGGTAAAATACAAAGTCTCTCAAAAAACAAATTACATGTGAACTTTTTTCATGATGCAAAAGCTGGCACACAATTACTGGTCCAAGCCTGGATGCTGGTGGTGGTTTCGGCCAATAAGAGGAGGAAACTAGTTTCGCTTCTTCTGCCGCGCTCCCAATTCTTCCTGAGTCTCTGGAAAACACTGGAATCCAATGAGCATTCCTATGATGGAAAAACCTGGGAAAAGCAAGATAAGATGTGATGCTTCTCAAATGAATAAATATCCAGTGAAAGGTTCAAACATAAAATTCTAAATTCTAGGCAATTACCCCTCCATACTCACTTGCAACAATGAGTGGTGCCATCACTCCAATAGTCAGCGGTGCAGTTTTGTAGATGAATGCTTCAGACAAAAAGTGACCCAGTGCCAACACAAATGTCCATAAAGTAATGTGATACAGCCTGTAGAAGCCAATATGTATTAATATGATCATAAGATTGTAAACCAAGAGCATATAGGAGTTTTAAAACATAACCGGATAGCTTACGTTCTGTTCTGGATATCAATAGCACAGGCACAGCGGATGATTGACGACAGCAAAGTCCAAATACCAAACGTTCGAGCTTGGAGACCATTTACTAGAGTAAGTAGAGGTGTAGAGAGGGAGGCAAATTAAGCAGTTAGTATATGTATGAATCTTTATAAGCCTGTTTTTGAAAAGCTCCATGATCATAAAATAAATCTTTTGCCAATATAAATAAAAATAAATCAACATTTGCCTATCTCCTTCTAGGTGGTTTCAACCCGCTTGGTGGAAGTGACTTTAGGGATGTGATTCTTGTAATCGTTTAACAGTTGCTGACATCAATGCTAGGATTTTTTTTCTACTCCCACTTTCAATTGTGATGTTTGAGGGGCTTTTTGCATGTAAAGCCCATTTCAAATCCAGATCTGTGCTACATCTTTTTACTCTCGTTATAAATGTTCTCAAATATTCTGCTCTGACACTTGATGTAAGATTTTTATAATCTTACATCAAGTCCCAAAATCCCAAAACCGTGACCCAAAATCCCAAAACCGTGACACTTCCAGCTCCATGCTTTTCAGTTTGTTTCTTGTATTTGGTTCAAGCCAAACATATTTTCTGTTTTTGTTTCCAAAGATAAATAATTGAAGTTTATACCCAAATGTCCATATTTTTCCAGAAATCCTTTTCTTGTCTACATCCTCATGGACTTTTGAATCAACACCAGCAAAAGCTTGTTGGTAGACTTCTTTTAGCATTTTGCTACCTGTTCTCTGGGTGAACATGCATGGAAGATCAGACCTGGGCATGTTGTCAGTTGTCTTGAATGTCCTCCCTTTGTGAACTATTCTCTGTATTGTGTCATGTCAGATTTCTAATCGTTTTTGAGTTCCAAAACCCTTTGCAAACGCATAAGCTGCTAAATGATGTGCCAAATATGAAATCAAATACATATCAGAACGGGGTGTCCTAATTTTTACACCTGCCATTATAAATACTCACCAAACTCTGGCGTTCCCGTGTACAGTTTCTCTGAGAGGAAGCTGTGATCCCTGAAGCTCTGCACGGTGTTTCCCATCGCGATGACGGACACCATCAGCAGCCAGCTCCGGAGGACGTTCAGAAAGCGGCTCATATTTGCTGTCAGTGACGCACCTGTCGGAGAGTCTGTGGTCTCAGACCGCAGGAGCAACTGAGCGGCTTAAAACACACATTCAAGGTCATCTGTCAGGAGATTACAATCATTAATATCTCTGAACAGACTAATATTTCGTCAATGAGGAGAAAAACAAAGGAAGCCACAGCTACCCACCAGCGATAACCAGACTACAGCGTCTTCATGTTTTAAAAACACAATCTGGCAAGACTAAATACTAAAACCACAGGTGGATTTCAGCCAACCGAGTATTTAGCTACATTTGAAACGGTGACTTTTCCCCAATCTTTGCCCACAGGGTGAGCCAATAACAAGGCTCCAAAATATGGCTCCATTTAATCGAACCATTATTATGATTGGTCGTCCTAAAACTTTAGGTACCGCCCATTTTCTAATGCGGACCAATAACAATTCACCCATTCGTAAATCGTGTAGACAACAAGTTAGTGTTTCTAGACAGGGGAGGGGCTGCAGATTTTATTATACTGTAACAATTAATTGCATAATCTTGGGGTTTGGCTTGAAACATGGACTGAAATTATGCTTAGGTATGATTTACAACAGAAATGGTCTCATTAATTTTGACTTTAGAAAACCACATTACAAAATCTAAACCAGACGTATTAAAATTGCTTGACACAGTTCAGAGGGTTTTGTAAGGCATCAAATTTTAAGTATTTTTCAGGTTTTGATATATGGGAAAGGAAGAAAAATATATATTCTCTCAGACTTTGCTTATGTTTGTTGAACCATCAATCTGTCTGTCAGTTGCTTTTTCACATCCCACATACAGCATACTGTATGCTGCCTTGAACTTCTGTTGTGCTATTGTTCTCATATCTGAATTAATCTGGTTCAAGAAGTTTTGCAGATTCACAAAGATGAAAAAAAGATGTCAAAAAAAATTTGAAACCATAGTAAAACCAACTATCTGGACAAAACAGGGTTGCCGAGATGTCATCATTTTTAAAATAAATTCTGTAATATAAAAGATCAAGGTGGAATGAACATATTGTAAAATCATGAAGTAGCTTTGTAACATATCTCCCAGTTTTTTAATTAAAAAAAATAGCAGTGGCAATGAAAACTGATAGATGACACATTCACATCTCTGCACAACTTTTATTTCTATCATAGAAGCTGGTAATAACATTTAATGTCAGAATGTTACATCACACCATAAAAAACTTTTTAATGCAGAAATGAGGGCTTAGCAAAATATACGTTCTTGAATGGGTTGGTAAATATTGCGCAAGTCGAAACAATTTTATATGGAATTTCAAATGAGATTCGGATTTCATTTCATGATTTGAATCATATAAATAATAATAATCATAAAAATACATTAAAATAATCCAAAAACGAATTGACTACATTCCCATTTCTTACAAAACAAGTCTTTCTTTGCGGATTTCATTTACGATCACCTGCTGCAAAGGGAGATTAACGTTCAGTTTAAACGTGAACGACCGTTGTTAGCTAGTGCGCATGCCCACTGCACTGTTGCTACTCAGTTGTTGTAGTAACCAGGAAGATTAACGGCGTTGTGATGCTTCCGCCAGCTAGTTAGCTGTTAGCGTTTCTGCACCGGAAGGTACGGGTAAGTTTATATTGGTTTACATTTACACTAAGGTTCAGCAATACTGTTATTTGGTCTTACATCAAAAGTGACTCTGTTTTGGCTGGTACCAGCATATGGTATAACTGCAAGTCCGTGCCAACGTCTTTGTATTTGCGGTAAGAAGGTTTCATCGCCGCCACAGGTAGATTTATGAACATGTTATTTTTGTATGAACTAATTTATACATTTAATGCGTGTGTCGGTGTTTGCTGCGTAGAGAAAACCGTGCTACAGACGTATGATATGTGTACGGACATATATAACCACCATTATTCTCAGTAGAACAGCTTTCGTTATTTCCTGGAGGATTTCACCGGGTCGTCAGCCGGACTTTGATGGGAAAATGCCAGCCGTGGCTCGGGAGAAAGAGGACTCTGAGTCTTCTTCTGAGGACGAACAAGGGTAATCTCAGAACTCCTCTTCTGCTGTTTGATGCGCTTTAAAAATAACGATAGCAATCTGTTCTAGAAACTTGCTGTGGGATTTTTATTTTTATTTTTTTGTGGTGTGGAATATGTTTAGGAAATGAAATTTTATAATCTTAAATCATACAGTATATTATAGCAGTTTTAGATATGAAATTAAAAAAATTATGAGCTCTGTCTTTTTATGCAGTCATATTTTGGGACAGCTTGTGTGTTGGTGTGGGTACAGCCAAATGCAGTTGATGACAAGCAACACTTTGGTCTGTTAGAGCACAATGCAGTTAAACTAATTACCAATCTGTCTTACGTTATTTGAATAATAGCCTGTGTGTAAACATTTGGTGAAAGTGGGAGGCAAAGCAATACAGTATCTTACTTGTATTTAAATGCCACTCATCCCGTTTGGATTTACGCACATTGTGTTTCATGTTTTGCATAGATATGACATATACTATATGCTGAACAACTGAAGAGTTATGATAAATGCAATTTGTGCTGATTGTATATTGTATGTTATTGTATACTTTTGTCTTTTTTGTGAATTTAATAAAAATCATTAGATTGAATGCTACAATTTATTTTAAAATGTATGACACTGAAAAACTATATTTTCAGTCACCACAAAAACACAGTATCGGCTCTAGTCGAGCATAAAAACGTGTTAATATTTTGCATAATTTTGTTTAATTAACAAGTGACCTTACGCCACTAATACAAATTTTATTATTTTTTTATTATTGAACTGTTATGAACACTGTCAGTGGCTGTTTTGCTTCAGTCAGTTTTTGTTTTTTTGCTCATATATGTGAAATGACAAAAAAAAAAATCAATCTTAAATTTTTTATATTGGATACCATTCTTAATTTAAGCATGCCAATTGTAGGTTTTCTATTTTAATGGTCTTTTAGCATATTGCACAGTGTTTTCACTACCATTACAAGCTGCAGAGAGGCTCTTTCTCAAAGTGTGTGCAGCTTGTGTAATTAGACTGTACTCTTTAGTCTCACTTAGGTTCTTACCTTGCTGATCCCCTTGGCTGACATTACAAGATGTGCCTCTTAAGATATGATTAATGTGCCACTTTGATGGATCAAGATCATAGTTTTTTTCTAGTCTTTATCTTTACAAATTATTATAGTTTGTCTAAATTGTATTATATAATTATTGTTATACAGTCTCTTAGGATACTTTGCGAGATTCTAAGTAAATACATTCAAACCAAAATATGTTTTAGACAAAATCAGATCTGAACATTGAAGAGTTTGTTATAAATATTTGATATGCAAACAGGATAAGCTAGCTCTCCACTGTGAATGTGACAGCTGGTCTTTCTTCTTTCGGCCAAATAATTCCCTCTTTAAGCTATTCTTAGTCATACCTTACTGATTATTACTTTCAGCCTGCTTGTTCTGAGTTAGTTTGTGTGGACTAAAAATTCTCACATTTCTCTCATTATAACAGTGATAAGACATTTATTTTTAAAAAACCTAATCTTTAACTAACATAAGTTATGTAACATATAGTAAGATATAGTACAGCTATAGTGCTAACATTTTTGCTTTTTAATCTTATCTTGTCTTTTGTATTAGGTGGAATCAATAATTTAGAAAAGGGCAATGTACAACAGTCAGACAACACATTACACTGAATAATTCAAAGCACCACTACATATAACTTTACAGATACTACTAAAGATTCTAGAGCCCGAAGTGAGGCCTGTATACTCTGAATGAACATACATTAATAAATGTAATATCCCAAGAGTGCAAGACAGAGAGTAGTACAACTTTAGTGTTTTTTAAATTTTTTATTTTATTTTGTTCCATGAAAAGAGTATCAGAGAAATCTTAAATATAAGAATTATTAGCTGTGTCAAGTAAAACACAAAGTTTGGGATGGTAGTTAGTTAACAACACTTTTTTATTGCAGAACTGTGCAGACTATCCATTGTCTTGCTGAGAAATAGAAGGATCTGCGTGTGAAATGTACAATTCTTGAGAATTTTTTTTTTTTAACCTTTTCTTAACAGTGTTTGCTATCTTAGTTTCAGTTAGTAAGTCACAGTGATAGCAATGTGCTCATAATATTTTGAAAGTTTGCTGAAAGTTTTCTAGCATGTTTGCTGAGCTCTCATTTTCAGTTGGAAGTATTTTCAAGTATCTTTTTTTCAATGCCTTTCTTAAGAAGCAATTTAAGTTGAATGAGATCTGAAATGCAGTTGTGATCAGAGTTTTATTTTTATCTGGTATATCCATTTAAAATATCAGAATAGTTTGTCAACTTCTATACTTCTTGATATCTCAGTGAAACTTATTTACCACTCAGTTTCACAGAGTTGCTTTGAAAACTGGATGGATGAATTGTTTACATTTCATCCGCTTTATCTGTACCAGTCATACCTGATTGAGTCGCATTTCATCATCACTGTGATGCCTTATCTTATATTTGCTATGCGATATGCATGTCACTTCTAGTACTGCGAGATGGTTTGGAGATGGTTTGAAGTTTTGTATAAGGGTGAGTTTGTACAGTGAGGGGAAGCATTTGTTATTGGCTTTGCCAGTTTCTTGTCTTTATCTAGCTCAGATGTTCATGCTTTTTAGTAATGATAAGGCATGGGCTAGTATGAGATTTTTAAAGTAAAAACCATGACAGCTTGGTTCTTGCAAAAATTTTTAAACAGAAATGTATAATATTAACTATTTCCCTTTAAAACAAAACAGAAAAAAGAGTTATTTCTACTGCTACTAAGATATTTTAACATATTGAGTATTTATAAATAAACTTACGGTAATTATATCTTACTAACAATGATGTGAGGTATTCTATAAGATTATATATATCTGTCTTTTGCAACTTTGAAGATTTACAAAAAGCATTTTTTTTAATCCTTTTGAACAGGTAAAGGCTGCTTAACAGGTAAAACAACCTTTACCTGTTACAGTGCTACAATTTGGCTAATATCAGAGCAAAACAAAGCTTTGTTCATATTATGAACACAATGAATACATGTAGTTGAAGAAAACCTTGTAAATCTGACCAGCGACCATCCTGTGCCTAGTAATGGCTGATAAAATTTTGGGACATAACATTCAAAGTGGATCTTTGTTATATGGTTACAACTTTTCTTGTTGTAAGAAAAGTTTTTAATGTCATATTTCTATTTTTCCAAGTAGAGAACATCCTTGCATTGCATGGAGTGGCATTAGCAGGACAATCCCAGTTATTGTTTTTCTACCTGAGGCTGTTGTTTCAAAAAACAGGCGTATCTGCTCTGCTGGAGGTACACACATTTAAAGTTATATAACAGCACATTTTAAATGTAGAGCATTAATAAGTCGGACAATCTAATTTTTGCTTGTCTCTTGTGCGTTTCCTTTCACCAGAGAGATATAATATGTCCTTCAAGATTGTTCGCACAGATAGCCGCCTAGTACGACGAATACTCATCAATCATGGGTTTCATGAGGTAATGCTCATTCTTCATTCATGCAGGTTTAAAAGATTTGTGTCTCTTAGAACGAAAAGCTAACATTTAGCTTTCTCTTTTATTTGTTTATTCCCAGTGCAACTGTCAGAGCTGCTCTGGACAAAAAAAATTACACATTCAAAGCATTAATTTTGCTTTATCAATGGGTGCAATCCTATGTTTGGTTCACCTTTAAATCTCTTTTATATTTTAGTCCTGTGCTTGTTGACTTTCATTTGACCAGTGATCAAATTAACATGAGTGTCTGTCATAAAGAGCCACACTTTATTACAAATATATGGTGGTAGTCCCAAAAACAGAGTAGTTGTTTGAATTTTGTATTCTGATAAATATTATATTTTATTAAATATTGTGTTTAGTGTAAAACTCAGAAAGCATTCTCGTGGCACAAAGGAACATTTTTGGATTGGCTGTTTTTCTGATGTAATTTTAAAAGTTCATGCTGTAATTTTGTCCATTGGCTGTGGAGTGATCTGGTTCTGAAATTCACATAATTCAGTGCTGCTCTTGGATTTTATTTCCCAGAGCATGGCAGTGATTTAACTAACTTTATTTTAGTGATTGCTTTTTGGGATGTGATTCAGCACAAGTCAGTTCACGTTTCTGTCATCCAGGTTCACCCAAACAGTAACAACTTCAACTTGATGTGGACTGGATCTCACCTCAAGCCTTACCTACTGCACAGCCTTCAAGAGTTCCAGAAGGTCAACCACTTTCCCAGGTACGCTGGAATACCCGGGTGTACTGTTACTGGTTTCTGTATTATAAATAACACTACTAATCCTTTCCAAACCCCTCAGTTCAGGCAATGTATTTTTTGGCTTCTCCTGCAACACACATTTAGTTTGGACTGGTGCCTCTCTGAAGTATGAAATGAATCACACTGTCAGGCAGAGGGTGTTCTATGACTGTCATCTATTTCTGTATTTGTTATGTCATGTCAAAGTAGAGCACATTTTAAACTGAAATCTCTGCTGATTTCCAGGTCATATGAATTAACTCGCAAAGACCATCTCTATAAAAACATCCAGCGGATGCAGCAGACTTATGGCTTCAAAAACTTCCATATAATTCCTCAGACCTTTGTGCTTCCCTCTGAGAGCGAGGAATTCCGCAGTAAGACCCTGTCCTGATTCACTTAGCTTAAACAGAGCTGCCTTTATGATATTGAATGCTTGGAAAAGCATTAATACCCCTTCAACTTTTTTCACATTCAGTCATATTACTACCATAGACTTCAAATTATTTAATTAAAATTTAACACAACAATTGTGCTAATTATATAGTGGTGGAAGGAAGAGATTAAATGGTTGTTTACTAAATAAAATTGTGAAAAGTACAATTGACATTTGTATTCATCTCAATTTCATATGATAGCCTGAAATAAAATTCAGTAAAAACCATTTAGCTCAACAAGTCGCTTGATTAGCAAATGAAGCTTCACAGTGTGTAATTTACTCTCAGCACAAGTAAAGCTGTTTTGTGAAGGCCTCAGTGGTTTGTTACAGAACACTAGTCTACAAACAGCATCACCAAGGCAAATAAACACAGCACACAGAGCACAGATAAAGTTGTGGGGAAGTGCGTTGGTCGGGTGACACTAAATCAGAGCTTCAAACCTTACATACTAAAGGAACGTGTGTCAGAGAACTGACCCTGCATATCGTTTTGGACACAACATCCACCCCTACAAAATGCAGAATTTTATTTCTAAAAATGTTTGAAAAGCATATATAATTTTCCTCCTTCATAATACAAAAACATTCTTTTCTGTTGGTTTGTCACATAAAACCCCAATAAAAATATATACAAATATGTAGTCATTACCACATATTTGTGGTAATAACCTTATAAAATAAAAATAAGTTGAAGGGGTGTAAATACTTTTGCAAGATACTTAATTTTTCACAGTGTCTGACATCTGTAGCGTTTTCCAAAAGTTCTCTTTGTCCCACTCAGGTTGTTTTGCTAAGGACAAGGGGCCATGGATAATTAAACCAGTTGCATCTTCAAGAGGACGGGGAATCTATTTGGTCAGCAATGTAGGTGAATTTCACTTTTTAAAATTGTGCAATTTCCCACTCCAAAATCCTCAAATGCTAACATAAGATCACATGAGCTAATTTACCAATGTTGACAACAGTTGGAAAGATGAAATTTTTAAGTTGAACTACATTTGTTGTCATCCTCACATGACAAAGAGTTGATGAAGGCCAAATTGAGTGTGAATGCTTTAAAGAAACTTAAAAAATAAGTAACTGGTCTATTTGCTATGGTAACTCAAAACGCAGGAGTAAACGTCTTGCCTTAGCAAATTTGCAATGAGACAGGTATACATCAATTTGTACACCACAGGTGAATATTTCTTAGAATGGGTCAAAACAAAAATAAATTGGATTAAAATGGAAAAGAAAGTATACAGATGTGTGCAATTTAACTCAACATAATATTTGGGCATTTTGATGACAATTTTTCTTAATATTTCACAAGAACTAAAAATAAACTGTAGTGGTTTAATGTTGTAGTTACAAAATAGTTTGCCTATATGTAAGAAATGTCAGTAGGAAAGGTGAAATTGTGTGATGTGAATTGGAGAAGGGATGAATTTACTTAAAGCCGTTTAAATTTCATTGTTTTGTTCTTCATTTTATGTGTTTCTAATTTGTTATGCCAACTAATATTCTTCGGTTTTCTCTGCTCAGTTTTTGTTTTCCTTAAAACTGTTTTGTGTTTTTTTGGAAATAAAATATTTTTGTGTAATTGTGTACCAAGCATGACGCTGTAGTAGGAGAAAGGAAAAAAAAAACTTACAATAATTACACAACAGGACCAATGTGATTTAAAAAAAATACTTTAGATAGTGACGATAAATTAGCACATACTTGAAACAGAAGATACCGAACCTCCCTTTTAATATAAATGCCCTGGTGTCAGTCTTTTTTTTTTTCTTGTGTCCTACTAATTCATGTGTAAGCACAGATTTATATTATTCGTGTGGGAGTAAAGTTTGTGGTCACGGACATGAAAAATGTTGTGTGAACCCAGGCAGTCACTTTGCCAGATGTTATCTGACTGTGGGGGTTGTGCTGATACAGTTGTCTTTGAAATAAGCTTCAACCAGACATTAATAAGCCCAGTGGAGTAAATCACACGCTTTCAAGGACTCGACTCTTGGAGGAGGCCAAAAAGGTTCTCACTCTTGGAAAATAGATCCACGATTCTTCTTCTCAGGCATTTTTATGCAATGGTGGAAAGAATGTCAGCTTGATATTTGGAGAGAAGAAAGAAATACGTTCATTTTTTCGGTTTGGTTTTGCTCTGAACTCCTGCCAGCGCTGGGGTTACTCTACCTCCTCCCTTCCAATCTCAACTCAACTTCACCACCTGCAACACATAAATGACCCATCTCCCAGCACCACATTGTGTTTTTATAGGCTGTTATTGAAGGTTGACCTGCTATGACCAGCGTCGCAGAAAAGTCTCCTCATGCGACGATCCTTTGATGTTCATGATTTACTGCAAAATTGTGGCAGCTGCTTGGAGTTGATATTTTAATGTTGTTTTATATGAATGAACTTGTACATTATTTCTTTAACTCCAAGATGAAATACTGACTGCATATCTTCTTTGTGTGTTTTTCTTGTTGTCGCCTTTGTGTTGTTTTTCATGAATAGCCAAATCAGATTTCAATGGATGAAAACATCTTGGTGTCTCGCTACATAAATAACCCCCTATTAATCGATGGTAAGACATGGTGGATATTTTGACTGTTGGACACTAAAACTCTTTATGATCAGTCCTCATTGTTTTTGCTTACAGAGTTCAAGTTTGACGTTCGTTTATATGTAGTGGTGACATCCTTCAACCCGCTGCTCATCTATGTCTATGAAGAGGGTCTTGCTAGGTATGTATATGTAGGTTTTCAAATACTTATGTAGTAGTTACATATCATTGATCACATTGTTTATTTTTGTAGAAATATATTGTAATATTAAATGCTATTATGTGTGTAGTGGTAGAGCTTCCAAATTGAAACTACAGTAACTACTTAATGAAGGATGTACCTTTTGTACAATATTGGTGGACATGATGACAAAGTCAACTGTTGCAGCCACTATCTGACTTTGTTGCTGTCTGATGTAGCTTGAATTGATAATTGAATTGTTGCCAATTGATAATTGAATTATTAGAGGTGTGTAAAAACCCTTACAATTAATTCATATTTTATTGCAGCAGCCTAATCTGACATTAAAAAAGTTTGAGAACAATTCAGCTTTTAACGTGGGTCTCTTAGTGTTTTGAATGACGAGAGGACCACACAGGAAAGGCACATACACATGCTAGCACATGTGAGTGCGTGAGTGCAGGCACATGTGAGTGCGAACAAAAAAGGTATTTTAATAATAAAAACATCAAACTATGATAACAAAATCCAAAACATGGAGAACATACAGCAGTGCAAGGATCACAAAGAGGAGACTAGAAAACCTTGTTGGGAGTACGTAGTAACTTATCAAATTATAATCCCTAGCAATATATCAAATTTTTAAGTACTAAACTTAAAAAAAGCACCTGAAATCTGTAAGATAAAGATTGAACAAAAGCCACAGTCCCACTGATCATAACAGTAATTTTTTTAGCAGTCTCTCAGTCCCCATGTTTTTGTGCAAAATAACTGGTGGCACAATTATTGGTACCTCCGTACTTTCTCCGTCCCTACTTTACCAATTGACCAACATAGTTGTCTACTATAATATTTCATAGGATTGGATCACACAGGAAGAGGTTTCCATAAGGGTTGGCTCCGGATTAGTGGGAATAGTAATTGTCTGACAACACAAATCTCTGCCGAGAGCTGCAGTCTCTAGCCAAGCTTTCGCCTCATACAGGCCTCCTCCCCTGAGCCTTCCTTACACAACTTCAGCAGACTGACTAGCTGCAGCAATTGGCAAACATTTTGTGAAACTGCGTCATCTGAGTTTATGATATGAACTACTCCTCAGTCCAATAATCCTAAAAAAAATTGTAAACAGCTTAATGGAGAAAGTTTGTTGTGATGATATACTGACGAAGTGTCAAAGAGTAGGAGCTTCTTAAAGGATCGGGGCAATTTCAAGGCATCAAATTGTGAAATCAAATTTCTTTTAAGTTATGTTTGATGTATGCAGAATTGTATAACAAATGAAGGTAACAGAGTTACTTGTATGTGTTATAAAATGTCACTGTCAGACATTATGCATACAGAAAGATGCAAAGACCTATTTTCATCTTATTTCTTTAATGTGTAAAGTGTCACCAAAGGCAATATGTCCCACTCTTTAGTCAAGCATGTAAGCTGTAAATAATTGTGATAACTTCAGCTTCATATTTACATATACATCTTAAAAACCATTCAAACTAAAAGCAGATCATTTTTATGTGGATTGATAGATGATCATGCTTTTTGTACCGCTTCAGCTTCAATTATGCTTTGTTTAATCTATTAGTCTATCACCTGAAATAAATCTTCAAGAAGAAAATAAAAATGCAAACTCTATTGCTACTGAAGTGTTTTAGACGTTTTTTTACTATTGTGAATTTCACTCTGGGATTAATAAAGTATACCCATTCATTCATTATACACTGCAAATTTACATCAAAAGTAATTTCTGAACGCTATCTCCGCTAACGTGTTTTGCTCTAAATAAATTAAAATAAATCCAAGTAAAGCAGAACTTATCATGTATTGCTGATTATAATATGACATTTTTTAGCATGTTTCACAATATGTGCTATGTTAAAGTGCAGTTTTGAGCAATCTACCAGTTTGTTCAATTGTGCTTTAATGTGGATTTAAATCCTGCAGGTAGTTTACTGTTTACGTTTCTTATTTAAGATTTGTTAGATTAATCATAGTGATATTCTTCATGTTTCCACAAGAGGGCACTCCAAGCTTTTAGAAAGCAGCCTCTGTATCCAACTACTGTTGTGATGTTGAAACAAAGCACGCCATTGTTTCAGCTGTAGGATGTGCTAATCAAATGTTGTTGTTGTTTTTTTTTCAGTTATTGTTTAGATATCATCTGAACAAAACTTAACTTAAATTCTTAATTTTCTTTTTCATTATTTGAAAGTAATCACATTTTTCAAAGTTAAACCGTAAACAGACTATGAACTGATACAGGTAGGCCAGGAGCGGGAAGATGATTTAGTGAATAGCTGGCTCCTCGCCTCGCTCTGATAGAAGTATGTGCTCATGCTGGAAACACCGTGCCACTGCCCTCTTATTTTGCTGGCTTCATTATCAACTGTGAGCAATAAATCATGGCTAGGTTCTGAATCCTGCTTTTATCTCCTGACATTCCTTTGGTGGTGTTGATATTCAGGTACGCGGTGGTGTGCCAAGGAATTTTCATTATAACACATGTGGCACCCACTGCTCTGAAATTCTATCAGAGACTATTTTCTCCATTACGTGCTGCAATTATTAAGTCAAGTTACAGCTTCATGAATGTAGAAGAGAAAATAATTCATGAATGTATTCTTTTTTTCCCCTTTATCTTGAGTTAAAAACAAACCTTTTTCTCCATAGATTTGCTACAGTTAAGTACGATCAGACTACAACACACATCAAGAACAATTTCATGCATCTCACCAACTACAGTTTGAACAAAAAGAGCAGTGATTATGTCAGGTAAGCTGCTTCAGTGCCTCATAAATCTGTTGAGTGTGTTGCTTTTAAGGGAAGCCTCCTGACTCATCCCTTTACCTCAGCTTTGGTCTTTGAAGTGCATTTCTTCTCTTTCAGCTGCGATGACCCTGAAGTTGAGGATTATGGGAACAAATGGAGTATGAGTGCAGTGTTGAGGTATTTGAAGGAGGAGGGAAAGGACACCACATGTGAGTGAGGCAGTTTTATTTTTATTGAGGTTTTTCTTTTTTTTTTGCATCTAAGACTTCATGAGTTTTATTGAATCACATTTAAACTATTTATTCCCATTTATTCCCTTCTAGTGTTGATGAGGCAAGTGGAGGACCTCATCATCAAAGCCGTGCTTAGCGCCGAGCTGCAGATAGCCACAGCCTGCAAGATGTTTGTTCCTCATAAATCAAACTGCTTTGGTAATTTTTTCCATTTTTCTTTGCACTATTCTATGTCCATCCTCTATAGACAATCTCTTCTTCTTCTTTAATTCTTATAACCATGACAGAATCCAACTTTCATGTATGTCTTCAGGATAGTTTGTGCTATTTTTACAACAGTTCAGACATACTCACAAATGCAGAAAGGAGATAAACACTGAACTCATAAATTTTTTTCTCTGTAAATATATTTATGCACTGACATGAAAGAAATGAGTCCTGTCGAAAACAACCGCAGTAACCCGCATATGAGAACAAATCAACAAAATTATGATCACAAATTGTGTATAGTAAAGTGAAACAGCACAGGGAATAAGTTTTACACATTTTCTGAAATTGTATTATTGTTAGAAAAAATTATTGTATTTTCATATTTAATGTTCAGTAGAAAAACCTTTTTTGGTGATTATGGCTTCAAGTGCAGAAACTATTTGCATGCATTGGTCAAGTGTGATTCTGAACCCTTCTTCTGTCGTTTAATCTCACATGTTGTGGAGAACTCTTCTATTCATTTCATGTTGAGGTTTTGTTGATCAACTTGAAGGATCCAAATGCAGAGCCTGACTGTGACAGAGTTCTGCGTTAACGACCAACCAGGTTAAGTTACGGACGGGGAGGAGTCACAGAAGAGCAGACAGAATAACGGAAAAATCCAGCAATGAACAATGAAAAGCCAAGAGCCTAAATACCAAGGCAGGGAAAGAAAATGACAAAGGAATCAGATGAACTAATCACAGGAGATGTGGTGCAGCTGTGGCAGAAGGAAAACATTGAGACTGTTGGAGGGAAATTAGTTACCCAAAGGGAGCTGGGACATTAAACCAGAATGAAAAGACTAACACAAATCTAGGGGAAAAAAATTTAAATGCACAAAAAAACAGGAATAAATTGAGAAAGTAAACAACAACTTATTTGCATCACAAATAAGTAAGGTGAAAATGGCAAGATCTGTAGAACCAACACAAATAAGTGATCAGAAAACAAATACGTAAAAAATAAAACTAAACACCCGAGGATCATAACCATTCACTTTGATCTTCACGTCTTTCCACTTATGATCAATGAGATTCTCTGACACAAGTTGGGAGTTTCGTTATCTGAATTCATGGGGTCTTTATCTTGTTGAAATGTCCAAGATTCTATTTTTAGATCCTTACCAGCAATGTTTTAGTAAATTTGTCCATTCATCCTTTTTTCAATCACTGGATGTCCGCTAGTACCATATGTTAAAAATAACTGCCCAACACCATGAAGCTCCCTTCTCAAAACTACATTGTTGTTATTATGCTTTTGGGTGCTGTAGAATGTCATTTTACGCCTCCAAACATCTTGTGTGAAATTTCGGTCTAATCCGACCACATTTTATTCTCTCAGTATTTTATTGTTTTAACCAAATGTTCTTGTTCAAACTTGTAGTCTTGTGCAACAAATGTGCATAGTAGTGTTTGTGGTTAAGTACATTTCTTCAAGTTTACATGGAAAAACAGTTTCGCTAATTCCAGGTTATTCTGAGGCTTTCTGTGCATAGTCCTCGACTTTTCAATTCTTACTGTTTTCTTTTAGTTCTCTGTCAGATAGTTTCCAAGAACGACCTGGTAGGTGGCTGGTTTATACTAAAATGATTTTTTCCCCCACTTCCAGATAAGGGTCCATTGGGTGTTCACCAGAACATTCACAATTTTAGAAATGGGTTCTAAATAAAATCTGTGTTTGGCAACAATGAGATTGTTATTCCCTTCAAGTGTTGATGAGACAAGTGGAGGCTTTCTCAAGTCTGCTGGTCTTGAGAGAGCATTTTGCTTTTACCCATTATGAGATGCTTCTTGTTTGATATCCTTGGTAATGAGCAACCTTTGTATAGGTCAACAGGTAAGAACAGCTAATAGAAGGCAGGATTGCTTTCTTAATACTGACAGAATTTAGTAATTCTCAGAAGACGCCATGAAGCTATCACCAACAAAGTCTTTTCTACTGTTTCATACACATACAAATTCCCTGTGTCATTCCACTTTAATACATATAACTTATAGACCAGTTTGGTTTATTTGCATGGATTACTTTGATTTTGTTTTACCAACATTTTGCATGTGAACAGGCTAGTTGGAAATATATCAATAGTTATTAGAGATGCTCAGTACTTATTTTAAACACTGTAGGTAGATAGCCATACATGGCACACCCTTTACATTTTCTTTAAGTTTCAAATGGTCAAGCAGTTCCTTAATAATTTTTTGCCTCCAGTTCCATGCTGAGGCAGTAGAGGCTTCCTGCCTGGTGCTGCCTTCTAACTGGCTGCCGGCTTGTTGAGGACCTGTCGACTGGAGCAAGAATTTGCTTCCTCTCTTCGTTTGCCATTCAAGCTTTGCCTGATTTAGGCTGACTGTTTTCTTGGCTAGTCTTGCTCAGCGGCGAGCTCGTGTGAACTCCATTTTGGAGCCATTACCCATGTTAGTATTGGCACTAATTGTCTGCGCTCTTTCTGAATCTGGCAGCCTTTCTGAGATTTTGGGGGTTTGAAAGTGAGCACATTGGCTCAGCTTCCCTCTAGCACCACTGTCTCTTTCTCAGTCTCTTTTTCCTTTTTCTTACTGTGTCTTTTTGTTTAAAAATTCCCCTCCACCCCACCATCCACCCTCCCTTTCCCCCACTACTCGCACTCAGTTTCACCTCTCAGATGCCAGAAAAATAGAGGCTTCCCGAGACATAATAGCTCTCTGATTGGTAGTTGTTTGGGCTGTACGTAGCTGCATGGACTCACGATCACAAAGTCGCCTGCATAAAGATGCAATCTGCACCCACAGCATCACTGCTATGTTGAAACCGCATTAAATTAAGGTGTGAATGTTGCCCCTGAAAGAATTTACAGGGTAATGTAGCCTATCTAATATCAACTCGCTTCTCAGTCATCCACATCAGAGGGACATGATGGCAATCTGAACCTAAATGTTTGTAAATTAACACATTAAGGTTTACTACTTATTTTCAACAGTGTAAAATACATATCAAACTCCACAATGAGCTGTTTATTTCAAATAACAAATAGATAAATGCAAGTCTTTTTTGGTATTTTCAATCAAATCTTTCTTAAGCACATTGAAACATCACATCCCAAAACAAACAAATGAAAGTTTTAAGGGACTTTTACACTCCAAAAGGTTATCGTACTTTAAAGACTGTAGACTTCAATCATCCAGTCAGATAGAGTTAAAATGGGGGGGAATTCAAGTCCATAATTCCTTCCCCTCCACTGCAGAGATCTGTGGCCAGAGATAACTTTCAGAATAAAATGTATCATCTTTGAGATCAAAAAGATATGATTCATAGTACTGTCACGACAGCTAGTGTCTCATTTTAACACTATCTGTCATGAGTCATAAATGAATGACTTGGACAACATGGTGCAAAAGAACTGATCTATATTACATGTACATTCATGTATAGTAACTTGCAAAAGCTTTGATACCGCTTTGCTTCTTTGTATTTCCTTACATAATGACTACAAATTCAGTTAACTTTATTGGGATTTTATATGAAAGTTCCATACAAGGTGGTGTAATGAAGGATATGATGGAAATGAAGTGGTTTCTCAGCCATTGCTATTTTTCAAATAACGACGGGGTTAAACATTCAGTCCGTAGATGTTAAATTCTTATACAAAACTGCCCTTGCTGCTTTGTGTTGATTCTACAAAATATTGATTCTGAGGGGCTGAATACAGTTACACTAGGAGTTAAAATCACCACATTTGTTACAATAAAATATTACATTTATTTGTTTGGATGATGATATTACAAAGTCTGCAATGATACGATTATAATTCAGTTTAGCTCATCTACATCAACTTAGAAGACAAGTCAAATATGAGTTTACATTTTAGTTCTAAATTATTGTGATTTAGAAAAAATATTTTTCTTAAGGAAGAAAAGTAACTAACATGGTCTCACAATTGTGAAGTATAAGTATGTTTATGAATCAGTTCAATTAAAAGTGCCCTTGATGATTGTTAAGCCATAATGAATCAGTTAGTAAACTTTATTAAATTCACACAATAAATGTACAAATTTGAAGTCCCTTTTTATACTTTAGAGCAGAATTTTATCTTTGTTAGTCGCTCAGACGAAACATTTTGACCAGAACTTAACCAAGATCACCACTTATCCTATTCGTCAGTCTAAATGCTGATGATCTGGATTTATATTTTCATTTTGCCTTGATGTAATACAATTTTAATTTAAATTAATTAAAAATGTATATAGCTGGACTGATGTATTGATACACCCCTGTTGCATGCTACATTTTTTAGGCTTTAATTTTTTTAAAAGTTGATAAATAATGTATTATTTTCCTTCCCCAATTCTATTAAATGCTTTTTGTCTTGATAATTCATATAAGAATCAATCAAATACAGTGAGGTTTACGATTGTAACTTGACACAATGTGAAAAAGCTTAAGGAGTTTAAAGATGTTTGCAAGGCACTGTATCTTCGGAACAAAAGCAATTAAGTCCAGCACTTTTGTTTTAAGACTCATAATGAAACGTGGTCTACTCTGAAGATGTAGACTATCTCACTTCAGCCCTATCGGTTTACTGTTGAATCAAGTGTAATTTTGTTGTCTACAGATGGCCCCAAGGTAGTTAATTATAGCATTCATGGTGTGTCTACAGGATTAAGTTTCTAAAGACAGACACTGACGGTTCCAGAGGACCACCCTCATCCTCTCCCTCTTAATCTGTCTCTTGGTGTGCTCATGTTGCATGCAAGCTCCCTCTCTAGGTTTGAGTATATGTGCAGTGTGAGTACAGGGACATGCTTAGACCCGCGTGGAGTGTATTGTTACATACATAAAGGTCTGTTTCAGATCCTGGAGTTTATTCTAATATGTTTGTGTGATGGATCCATGTCGCTTTAATAAAACCTCTCAAAGTCCTATTCTGTACTCCACAGTTTCCTCCCTTCCTTATTCTCAGTATGTTCTCCCACTCCACACCCTAATGTACCCCCATGCTTCTTTTATTGCCGGGCCTCAGCAGCTGTTTATAATAGTAAACTACAAAGTATGTGTTTTACTGATAAAAGTAGTAATTATTTTGTGTTTTTTTATATACAATCACTGGCATGTCTGAAGAGAGAGCCTTGCAAAATCATTAAGTACGTTATAATCCTAATTTACTTCAAAATTTTCCCTTTGATTTTAAAGTTTATTAATGGCTTTAAAACAATAGGATTTCTTCCTTTTTGCTCAAATTATACTGTGCATCTACATGTGCGTACAATAAAAAATCTTTTTATAGCTCAGTAATGTCTCATGTGGGATGAAGTAAAAACTTTTTTTTTACGCTGTAAGAAGTGTGTATGGGTGTATGAGTCTTTCTGCGGGGAGAAAAATGCCACCCATGCAGCTCCTCACCGCTGCTGTGTGATTAATGGACAGGCTTTTTGCTGAGAGATGCTGATTACGAGATGTTTTGACTAAGATCTGATTAGCCAAGCCAAAGGCCTATTTTATTACACACAAAACATTCCACTTACTGGTCCTGTGTTCCACCAAGCGTACCTCATTAAGTGCTGAGTGTTGGTTGGATCAGCCCCTCTTTCCGTTTCAGATACTTTTCTCAGTAGTGCAGGGTTTGCATCCCCTGCAATGGCAGTGTAGCTGCTGTGTAAGCGATTAATGGTTTAGTTCCTGCTATCACAATAAGACTACAGAGTGCTTACTAGAACTTTAATTTGTTGTTCTCCGAGGGTTTCCACATCTGCTGTGCTTCTTCCAGCAGCAGTGAAACAGTTTAACTGCCGTAACTTATCCCAGAATGACGTGAAAGTAATTCAATTGTCCCATTGCATGAAGAAAGCACACTTGAAAGATGCTCTTGTTATTGTGGGCTACCAGGCTTAGTGGCCAGGGTGGGGTGATCATTGTTTTTGGGTGTTTGTCTCTTGTGGTGAACTTTTCCAGCAGCGCCCCTCCTATAATAAAGAAAATGCTCTTCATCATCTCTTTTTTTTTTCTGTCACGGGTGTCCTGTCCCCTCCCCTCTCTCTTTGAGGGGTGTGATGTAGATGTTGAGCGCCTCACGCCTGCTTGTCTATGATGCTTGTTGTGGGCTGTCTGTGGGCACATTTAAAAGCGCTCCCCCGGCAGCGGTCGAGCCACAGAACAAACGTGTCTGACATTAAGCTGCTCAGCAGGCTCGTGGGGCATCGGCGGCGTCTGCTTCTAATTGAGGGAAAAATTTGTGGCACATGGAGTCTGCTTGTCGGAGGCTGGTGAGGTGGTTGCAACACCTCTCCATTTTCCCCCTGCTCTTGTTGGGCCACTGATGAGGCAAAGCAGGCTCAAAACCTCAATTATTCCAGCACACTGTTCTCCAACACTAATGTTTTATGATGATACATACACTTCTTCTCTCCATGTTTCATGTCGTCTGTATGTTTTTTTTTCCTTCACTGAATTAAATAGAATAGGATTAGCTGACAAGTGGAAAATAAAATCTTGTAAAGTCTTGCACTGTTTAACATCAGGGGGTCCTGTCCATCTTGTGCAGATGTATTATAGTCCCTGGCTCATGAATGGATGGCAGATTTACTTTCGTTCCGTCGGTAAGAATCAGTTTCAGTTTATGCGATTTACACTCCTTAAAACAATAAAAGCACAATGCGTTTGAAATATTGTAGCTTGATTAATACAAAATACATACTTATGTGGATTCCAGTCCTTGTTTTCTTGGAAAATTAGAGAGGACACAGTGTACTTTTGAGAAACATGATTTTAAAAGTCAAAGTAAATAGTAATTATTTATTATAAAAGTCAAAAACATACAGCTTACAGTCAACAAGGTCACCAGAGATGCAGTGATCAGAAATCTTTTTTGAATGATCTTTTGTCAACATGGTTCTTTCTGAAGAGTCTGGGATTTTCTTCATTTTCTAGATCTTAATAAGTATTAAAAAAAACATTGAGGTGTGGAGTATTTGACAATCTCCACACTTTCCCCTCTTTCCATGTTTTAAAAGAAATTAGTCTGTACTGAATAAATGCATTTGCCAAATATTTTAATCATTGATATATTTATTGGTTTTTGACTAACTGAATTCACACTCATTCAAAAAAGGAAATTTTACTACCTGTTTTGTCTTTAGACAATTTTAACGTTAGGATGAACTGTACCTGTTTGTTTATACTTTGTCTAAAATGCCAAAAAAATCCCACTAAATGCATTTTCAGGAGATTTTACAAGAAAATCAGGCATCATTATGAAGAGTATTTGTGAGTTCAGCTCCAGCTTTCACCAGGGAAACCCCTTTACCTTGATACTGGTATAGAGAGTTAACTATCAATGCTTACGTTGATAGTCAAATCATTAATAGAGACATGGAAAATAAAATTTCTCATTTTATATCCAAATAATGTAGAACCACTTAAAAGGAAACAAATGAATTTTCTGTATATCCTCAACATTTTTTAAAAATTCCTACTTGATACTTTATACTAAAGAACTTGATACTTACTTGATAAAAACAAATATCTTCACCAGATAGCTGACTTTAAATATGGACATTTTCTTCTCATTTAAGCAACCCACAATTTATTTTTTCTGATTAGTTTGCACTTCATTCATGTTCTAAGTTACAGTAACACCATTTGGTTAAAGTGGAACGGCTTAGTTTTATCAGTGTTACCTTAGGTGCAATTTGAGACCATTGCCAGTTGTCATGCTGGGTTTTGTGTGCTTAGCACTGGCATTGACCTGAGATGCTAAAGCAAACAGTGCTGGTTATTGCAGCTTTGAAACAGCCCCCCCACCCCCCAGCCTATTCTCAACACAGTCTGTTCTTTTGAAGTGCCATTAGAAGGATTTTTCCTTTGGCTTTTTGGCCGGGTGCTACCCTAACCCTGTAAAAAGACTGTGGTTTCCCTGCACGCTTCTGCTGGGGCTGGTGGCTTATTGGGTGACACTCCCCAGAGCAGTGTGAGGCTTTTCATATGGCGCATATACTCTGACAGCTTCAGTAAGCCACATATCAGTCAGCCAGTGAAACGGGAGAGGAAAATCGAGATGAAATGGGTGATTTTTTTTTTCTTTTACTCTGTGAACTTCCTGACCACTTTGTGAAAGGCCTTTATTGTGTCACTCAGTGCTTAGCTGTTACTGGAGTGAAATACTGTATGTACAATACGCTGCCTAAGGCTTTCTAATTCCCCAGGTTTTGCCACTAGGGACACACCCTCACATTTCAAGCTGTGCTTGTGACTTTTATTGAGATGGACGTGATGTGACCTCAGAAATAAATCGAAACTTTTTCTAATGGTTCTTAGAATCATTCACATGTTGTTGAAGGGCAGTGTGGATATTCAGAATTTCTAATCTTCTTCTGAATATAATATAAGATTAAATACCAATCTATGCCAATACTCACATTGGCATAGATAGATATGCCAATATATCAATCTATCTATCCAGAAGGTGGGGATTTTTTTTATCCTCACCCTCTGGATTGTCCATCAGCTTTAAATTCAGTTCAATTCAAATGAAGAAATACCTTATTTATTCCAAAGGGAAATTGAATGCCATAACTCATATCATGCAAATTAAATGTTGCAGTCAGTCTTGCAACAAATCAGGTGACTTTGACCTGAACACTGGTGCTGCATAACATTTTCATTACTGTCATGATATCAAAACCAGTGGGAATAATTGCCCAAACATGCAATGCCTCAACCAAAAAACGTATGAACCAAAGTCTACAGAAAGAACAAATCAGAACTAACATGATAAAGATACTCCAACATACTGCCACCATTCCAAACTAAATTAGCTAATTAAAAATGTTAATTTTATCTGGTGACTGTCCTTCTTTCCGTAGAACTCTACGGGTTTGATGTCCTAATTGACTCCAATCTTAAACCGTGGTTGTTAGAGGTGAACCTTTCACCCTCTCTGTCCTGGTGAGTGACTCAGTTCTTTTTTTGTTTTACTTATTAGTAGAGTCTCATGTAGAGTATTTTAATTATCCAATTTGCTAAGAAGACAACCATTCATTACTCTGTAATAGCTCTAGCCACAAAAATACCAGAGCAGCATAAATATTTAGTTATTTGAAATATTTGCTTGATTAAAAATTTCATACCTTCTCTGTCTTTTTACAGCGATGCACCCTTGGATCTGAAGATAAAGGCTAGCATGATTGCAGACATGCTTTCACTTGTGGGTGAGTGCATGCTGAAACAATGAACAAATACATATTTCATTTGGTTTCATGGTTTTCCATTAGTAATTCGTCTTGATGAACCAAGGCATTTCAAAACACTTTGAAATGCCTTGTTGGTGAAAGATGCTAAACAAATAAAATTGGATTGATTGATTGATTGATTGATTGATTGATTGATTGATTGATGTGAGGTTATGATGCATGCATACTGCCTCCAAAAGTATTCACACTTGTTAAACTTTTCCAAAATTTCAGTTTCAACCACATACTTCAAAGTATGATGATTATGATTTTATTACAAAAAACAACCCAAGGTAGTGTATAAATGTGTATGGAAAATATCAATTTTTTGTTTCACAAGTTTTTACAAATAAAAATAAAAATACAGTGATGACATTGTTTTCAACTCTTTTACTGTGTTACTTCTAAATACTGTTCAGAGAGCAACTAAGTCACATAATTGGGACACAAACTCCATCTCTGGCTAATGTAATCTTTACGTAAATGCAGCTAAGAACCTCAAAGATTCTTAGACAACATTATCAAACTACATGGTTTGTGGCATTAAGGAGACATTGTACTACTTTTCAATAGGGATTTTATTCCATAAAGCCCAGACTTTTAGAGTGCATGACTAATAGCTGTTTTGTTGACAAATTCATTATGTATGGATTTCTACACCTCCTCCAGAGCTACCACAGCACACTTAACTCCTCCTCTAATTATGGGATTGTGAAATACATACGCATACCACACTTTCAGATGTATTTGTAAAATTAAATGATGTATTTTTTCTTCCACCTTACATGATTTGTCACAGCTCCAATAGATTTGGGGTTGTGACGTTACCAGATGTGAAAAGTTCAAAAAGTATGAGGCACTGTGGCTTCAGGCACAGTTCAGACTTTCGTTCTTAACACTAAATCAGAATGTTTTATTATTATACATCTCTTTTTTTAGTCATCACCCTGTTGACTTTGCTGCTGGTCGGTCATTCTTGTGGTGTGCAGGTTTCAAGCTGTTCGAGACAGTTGCCTATTGTTTAATGTTTTCCAACATTCCTCTCTAAGCTGAGTTTGTGCTAACGACTTTCAAAGAAACTGCATGGCTTTAAAGGAAGCATTCCTGTGTTGAAATATTAAACCACAATATTTATTAATTTGCATTAAATTACACTCAGATCAAATTGCCTACACATGTCTGAGTGTTTTCTTTAATTGTCATTAAGCCTGAGCCCAAGGCACAGATAAGAAGTCTAGCTATGTTGCCTCCTTTCTTCTTTAATTTTTTTCCATATTTATTTTGCCCTGTTTAGAGTCTTGGGTTCCCTCTATTCTTGATTTGATGTTTTCATTCAAAGAATTGCTAAACCATGTTAGATCTGTAACTTCTGATAATTTGGGTGTGGAAACATGTTTTTAGAATGTATAATATCATGTAATTCCTAGCTTATTGCTATTCAGGTTATCCTCTGCCCACTTATGACTTCTATAAATATTATGAGCTCTTATGTTTATCTGTGGTCCCAGGCTAATGATATTAGAGGAATGGCTAGTATGTGCATGTGTACACTTGTGCATGCCCAAATGTGTGTGTATGTGTGTGTGTGTGTGTGTGTGTGATATGCTGGGCCATGCTGTGGCTTGAAACTCTCCCCTCTGGCTCATTAAATGAAAGAGTAGAATCATAAATTGCCAGTTATCTTTGGACTGAGACATTCCTTGCGGGTCTGGAGAAAATGAGCAGTGGCATGTAAAACATAGCACATCTATTATGTACCAAACAAAGTCGCTGCTGGCTGATAACGCTTGGGCTGCATCCCAGTCCTGTAAATAATGACAGCATTCCATTAGCATTCATTCCCTGCCTGTGTGTAGCTGTCAACTCCATGTCACCAGTGTTTGCAATAATTGCAGTGTTTAGGCGAGAGCATGACAGGGGCCTGATGCCTGACGGCTCGAAAGAGGCAGAACAAACAGCCTCAAGCTAAAAGCTGTCAATAGGCTTTATTCAGTTCATCTGAGAGAGCAAGATATGACAAACAAATTTATTCAGCTGTTCACTAGGATTTGGGAGGGTGTGGGAAGCAATAAACAATAAAATTAAAGTCATAAATATTTTTGTCAGGGTAGGAACATTTTGCTGAGATGAGATGAATGTGATGCACTTAATACATTAGCTGTTTTCTGTTAATAAACACAGAATATTAGGATTTTCTTTACTTCTTTGACCCTGTGTTTGTTTTTATATGTGGCCTTATAAAAGACTGATTCCTCATTCAGATTTTCAAACTTCTATTTTTTTATTGGGGGTTTTATATGATAGCTCAACACAAAGTAGTGAGTTAGGAGCTGCAGACATTCAGAGGTCAAAATAGAGAAACTTGCCTGGACAACTATTGTTTGTGGACTTTGCACAATTAGATGAAATAACTACACGAGGAAGAAAACCAGCCCTGAATACACTGTTTTTGGTAAAATGTACTGCTGGGATGCTGGTCTTGATAGGGACTGGGCAGCTGGTCAAATTTATATTGGGTAAATATTTTTAAAAGATCTTTCCAATTCAATTCAGATTTCATAAAAAAAATGCTTTATTTATCCCAAAGAGAAATTAAATATTGTAATTTATATCATGCAAGTATCTTAAAAGTGTTATTTTAGATGGTGATGCTGTGGACAGGAAGTTATCTCCAGTAGCAGTCAGTGTTGCAATAAATCCGAGGAGGTCTGTGATTGAAGAGTGTTGCTGTATGACATATTGGTGTTGCTGTAATGATATGCTAACAGCTCAATATCCGGGCAGCAGAGACAATATTCCACAGTAACATATCCTACTTAGCACCATCAGTTGTTGGCAAGCACTGCTAATCCACCTCATTTGCTTTTACTGCTTCTCTTTAAATCTCTCTCTGGTCGTCTAGTCAGAAACCTGGGCAGAGAAATATTGGAATAGAGGATATTATGATGAACGAATGCAATGGTTCCTCTTTTTTTCTCTTCTGCATCCACAAAGTCTCCTTTACAACTCCTCTGGAGGTTGGGGTCAAAGCTCAGGTATTTTTTTGAGGACTTGAGATTCTAAACAGCTGCTCTCAGACGTAGAAATCAATAACTTGTTGCAATGGTTATGCATCGTAGTAACCACCTCAAAGTAAAAGTGTAAGAGCAAAAATCCCTCCAGCTCACAACATCCAAACTAGATTGAATAATCATCCAAACATGAGATGACTCAACCAAACGTAATTGACAAAAAATAGCAAATCAGAACTAATGTAACAGAACTACTCCAACGTGCTGCCAAAATGAGTTGCATTATTCTAAAAGAAAAAAAAAAAAATCATTCTGCTTTATAACTGGACACAACTTTGTGTTGGTCTATAACGTAAAATCCTAATAACATACATTGAAGTGACCAAATATGGAACTGTTATCCGCTTAACAGCGCTCGCTGCTGACTTTATACTTCTCTAAATAAAACCTAGGGGTGAAAAGTTGCCAGGTGATAGTATGCACAACTTTTTTAGGTGTTTTTCTTACTTGGATATTGTGATCTTAAAACTCCATCCACCCTGTTTTGTTTTCAATCTTTTTTGATTTTTTGAAGATTATGGTACTAACTCTCGAGTTTCTCTCTCTTTGCAGGCCTCGTGGGTCAAGACCCCCTGTCGAAACAGCCTCGTTCAGATCGATTCACAGTCGACAAGAAAGTGGGACCAAGACTGCAGGTAGAGGATAGCAAAGCTTTGCACTCTAACAATTCTTTGGGTCAGACTGCATTTTATTCTCATGCAGTAACAGGGGGATAAAACAGTACATTCCTCTTCCCTCACCCTCCTGGAAAATGTACTGTAATGCAAAACAACTGCTAATGTAATTAAAGTGTTTGAGTGACATCAGCTTGAAAAAGCTGAGAACTCTGTGCCTTAGCTTTTTATCATTTCTAATCAAATGACTGATGTTCTCTTCGGGTCATTTTGCCTAATGATGCCACAAGTAATTCGCTTGGCTCCACTGCTTGACTACTGCATCAAGTTGTGGTGCAACACTGCTGAGGGAAGATTACTAAAGCAGACAGATTTCTGCTCCACCTCATGTCGTGTTAAGGAGCTTACACATAGTGACAATGTTTTACAGTGGCGTGTCGATGCGGTTTGCGTGTTATGTGCCTTTTGTAAAGACTTATGGGTAACACAAATGTCCTCATGCAGAAGTGTTTTTTTTTGCTCCAGCAACCACTTTGCAGAGCAAGCTGGTTTTATTCGGACTCAAACATATTAATCTTTAGTTTTTTTCCCCCTTGTAATTCCCTGATGCTTGTTACTTCACTGCTAAAAAACTACTTGCTGCTTTTATCTTGATTTAATTATGTGCCTTTACAATTTTTCATTGTGACAGACAGATGGCTTCTATTGATTCGTAATGTTGCATTTTCAATAGGACTTTTCATTACATTAGCAAAGTGGCCCTTTACAAGTAAAAGGCTCAGATGCTGCATTGCACCACTGGCCTCAAAAGGACTTAACTATGCAGAATCTCAGATGTTCAGTGCCTTGCAAATAATGTGAACTCCTTGACCCATTCCATGTTTTATCATGCCGTAGCGTCAAACTTTACGTTTTATTGAAATTTTTTTTGATAGATAAACACAAAGTCACATGTAATTGTGAAGTGGATAGATTTTTTTTACAACCCGAGTTTATTTGTGTGTAATTTAATATTAATATAAATACAGTTATTCTGTGAAACTCTCAAGAGCACCAAGAAGGGCAAGTTGTGGAGAAGTTTATAGCAAAGTTAAATTCTATAACAATATCACAAGTTTTGAACGCCTCATGAAACACTGTTAAACCCATCTAGTATTAAAACATTATGGCACAACTGCAAGGAGAGCATTATTGAGTAAAATAGCCAAAATAAGTAACTGCAAATAATCTGACAACTATTAATCATGCACTCTGGAAAGTACTGACTTGGAAGAGTCTTGCACTTTCCTGCAGTTGCAGTGACAGCATCATGCTGTGGAGATGCTTTCTTTCAGCAGGAACAGCAAAGATGGATGGAGTAACATATAAGGTAACCCTATATGAAAACCTATTAGAACAGGAATGGTAATTTTGGATGCATCTGTGTTGCGACACACATGGATCAAATGGCTGGATTTCCTCTTGAGTGTAACAGTTTTGCAGAGGCCGGGTAATGAATCAGGTGATCAAGGTGTGTTGGATTTGGGGTACATCTGACTGTTTTAGGCTGATGGCAATAGACTGTAAATTGTGGTGAAGAGGGGCAATGGAAAAAAGGCATTTTTTTGTGTTACTGTGGCCCAGGCAAAGTCTAGGCGTAAACTCAATTTAAAATCAATAGCTTGGTTTAAAATGTAATGTTTACAGATGCTCTCCATCCAATCTGACTGACAGAATGGGCAAAAACATCTTAAAATCAGTCTGGTCACAAGTTATCCCGAGTCACATGCAGCTGTAATGTCAGTGGTTTCTGTAAAGTAGTTGTTTGGTACAAACTTCTGAGATTTTGCATATGAAGAATATACTGAAAAGTTTTGTTTTTTTTCTTTTTCATCTATGTCACAATTATGCACAACATTGTGTTGGTCTGTCACATAAAATCCAAGTAAAATATAATGAATTGTGTAATTAGCATGTGACAAAATTTGAAAACATTCAAGTAGAGTAAATAACTTTGTGAGGCATGCACTACATACATGGCGCAAAACCACACCACAGCTGTCACAGAGGCTTTGTGAGAACATTGGGCCTACAGGGAACCTGTTCTTCCATTTCACTCTTTAACACTTGAAACTTTTGCAGTGGGATTAGGCCATGTCACTGTTTGGCTGCCTTTACAACCCTCCAGCCGCATCAGGCAAATTAAACATAATCCCTCTGCTATTTAGATGACAAATTACGTATGTGATCCTGTGGGGTTGTGCCCAGCGCACTGGCCGCTGTCCCAAACTGCATGCCAAAGTTGTCAGTCAGAGGGGCCAACCGGAATGCCAATGCATTGCAAAAATGTGCTATTTCTGTAACAGGGAGAAGAGGAAAAAAGAAATTCTTGTTGCCTGTGGCATAGTTTGCACATTTTTCATTCATAAATGGAAGTTAAATATGCAGATGCAAAGGAATTATGTTTTAGTCATAGTAGTTAATTATACTTCTTCTACAAGATTGAACTTCAACATCCTTTAGGGCTAACTATAGATCATTTTTAACATTGGACATTAATAATGTTCCTGTTCTTATCTGTTTACAGCACAGGACTGTATCAGCTGTTAGTTCGGAAACAAATGGATTAAGCGACAAGCAAAAAGCTAAAATCAGCCTAGAAGAGAGCACTCTGAATCTGACTACTGAGGAGGTAAGGCAGGGTGTTACATGTTGTCAGGAAAGCAAAATAATGCTTAATAAAATATGGCATCTTTTTTAATACATCATGTTTTTTTTTCCTCTTGAATGTAGATCAAAGTGCTAAGGAGGATAAAAGAGGAGTATGAGAGGAGAGGGGGTTTTATAAGAATCTTCCCCACCAAGGATACATGGGAGCTTTATGGGTAATCAGAGCTAAGAAAAAACAGGCAGATTCCTTAAAAGGCCTCAAGCTATTTGTTACAGTCCCCTGATAACATGAAAATTCAAGATAATTTAGGATGATATGTACAAATAAAGTCAAACCAGGGATCCTACACAGCCTGGAAAAGTTCGGAGCTTGACGAATGTGTGGAAAACCAAATAGAGTTAAAAAAAATTCACCTATCCATTTGTATTTGGATCCACCGAACTGTAACCAAAAACATTAAAGATAAAGAAGCAGGGTCCTTATATGTAAAAAATTTTGCGTTATCTTTCAGGATCACAATTATTTAATGTCAGAATTAGGGCTGAAACAATGAACTTGATTAATTGTGATGAATTGATAATTGAAATAATTGTCAGCTATTTTAGCAATCAATTAATTGTTAGCTTGAGTAAGCAAGACTCAAAAATGGCCAGTTACTGAAAGAACAATAAGGACTGAGCAGGAATTAATCCCAAGCTTGACAAAAATGATATAAAGGAAAGTCTATTTCGGGTTATTTTGCTGGATTTCATCCATAGATGTCCTAAAAACTGAAATTTATGACATTTCTAAAAGCAGATTGAACTTAAGCCTTGAAAAAGATAAAAGCTATTTTGAATTGTATTTGTTTTTCCGCCTCTTTCTGTCAGAGCATATCTCGAGGCCAAGCCATCACTGAACTCCTTGCTGGCAAAGCGACTTTTCCATGGAAGGTAAGCATTCCCATTGCGGTTGGAAGGCAGGAATACATCTTTCCTTCAGCTTATGGAAAAGCTTGGATTCTCTTGTGTTTGTATTTTATACTTTGATTGCGCAAGTTAGAGGATTCATTAAAGAGATGAATCAGCTTTTCCAACAGGTTCCTCATGTCTGCTCAGCATTGTGGTGTTGTTTTGGTGACAGGAAAGAAAAGAGTGATAGATGATTAATGCTTAGTTAGGAACCCGTTTTTATTTTAGTAAAGCAGCCTCCATTTAGTTTTGTTTTAAGCCTCCTATTTTCCATATTTGTTAGGTAATCAGACTGATTGGTTACTGCTTCAACCCGTTCGATGTTGCTGTTTGGCATTTATCGTCTTTGTTTTGGATCATTGTGCTACATGAGAAGCTACACAATATTTTAGTGTTTTTGACAAGCGGCTTGGAATTTAAAAGAAGTATCTTCCTCCTTTTTAATTGTTGAATGATACGAATCCAAGAAACAGTGCCCCACTGTTAACATACTGTTCTGTTGTCAGACCCATGCACAGGCACACTCACCTGTTGTCGGACGCAGCCCATGGCCGTCACGTTGTTCAGTATGAGAGGAAGCTGCTGTCTCTCGAAGCACAAAAAAGTAAAGAACGCCACCTGAGTCATCATTCTGCAGTCAGGAGAAAAAAACTGAGTAGGTCTGATGTATTCTGCATGTTACTGTGCGTGGAGTTAAGTAGAACAACATAACATGTACAGCACTTTTGGTTTTAATAAATAACTCCCCTGTGTCATGGTGAGGTTGGCCAAAAATGACTCGGAATGAGTTCATTTCTTTGCAGCAACAATAAAAAGCCTTTTCTAAGTATATGCATGTTTTATCCCAAATGCCTGTGATGTAACCGACATTTGTCTTTTCTTGCACTGCCGCACACCTCAGGGAAGGAATCCAAGGCCTTCCTGGCTGAAAACAGAAGCCAGGAGACCGAGGAGTGTTCTCAGGAGGAAATCGAGGAGGCGAAACAGCCTCTTGAGCCACTCCCGCTCAAGGTTTTGGACATGGAGCAAAGTAAACAAGCGACCACACCATTGGAGCAAAGCCACAACAAACCTGAGTCCAGCTTAGATGCAGCCATGCAGAATGCCAGGCCCACAGTCAACCTCCTGAACGTCCTTCAGCAGGGGCGGGACCTCAGGTCAGTCTATATTCTGGGCTTATGTTAGTGTTGGATACTGCTCTTATATTTCACATTTCAAAAGAATGTTTATAAACTTGCTCTGACTTAGGAAGTACAAGGAAGAAGGTGAGCCTTATATTTCAAATACCGTATTTATATGCCCTGAATAGGTTTTTAACATTTTGTTATTGGTATTTTTTGTAATGTACCAATAACAATGTGATGCAATGTATGTATGCAGGTTTAAAAAAATTTTTTTTGAAGGTATGTCTCCACCAAGGGTATAACTTTGTGTTGAAAGTTAGTGGGGAAGTGTTGTGGAGAAGGAGAGTATGGGTGGGTCTGATGCACCACAGTTATGAGATCTTAAGGCCTTTTTAATGTGAATAAGGCCAAAACTTAAATGTGAATCCCATATAGTCTTATATCCATTATTCAGTAAATTAGGATATACAGTAACTACTAAGTAATTGTCAGAACATTCTTGGCGGTTGCTTAGTCAATTTAAACACTTGCTCTACTGATAATCTGTCAGAAAGTAGATGTGTTGGGTGCCTTATTTTTGTGCTAACTAAACCGAAACAAAGCGAACTGCGGAGCAAAGGTAGATATTAAGGTTGTTGAAGTTAAACTACTCCCCACTTTCTCTATAAATATTTTTAAATTACTCTTTTTTCCAGACCTATGAAATGTGATTCCCTTGGCCCTGTATATCTTGCTGGCGTAGCAAAACATTGCATTTTTCCACTCAATACAAAGCAACAGCGCATGTGGAGCACTGCAGTGCATAGTAAGTCATGTGATGTCCAATCTATGGAATACCTGAGGAGACTTGCGTTTACGTTTTCTACAAAGGAATGCTAAAAATAATTAACTGGCTGATAATGCTTTGAACACAGCACGCAGCTTCTGTGGAGTTACTGTCCGTAAATAGAAGCAGGCACATAAAGGAAAATAGGTGTTGAAAATATTGGTGGGGACTGTCCCCTTCAGGCCAAAGTTGGTGGGGAAATGTCCATACCAGTCCTTCAGGAAGTTACGCATATGGTCTCTACCAGCGTTGTGCTTCTTGAAGCTGTAATTATTTCCCTTTTTTTTTTTGCAAAGTAGCTCTAACTCAGCTAGAGTATATGAAGTCTTGGAATATAAATTTTCAAGTCTTGCCACATATTCTTTGTTAGAATTTTGTGTCTCCACAGCATGGTGCTGCCACTACCGTGCAACAACTCCTACATTTATGTTTGTAGGCTGCATGGTGGAGCAGTTCTAAATTCAAATAATACTTATGAATTTAGAACTGCTCCACTTTTCTCAGTTGGATGATCTTCCTGCATGCCTGTGTTCCCTCTAGGTACCCAGCTTGTCCAAGATACGTAAGCATAATCGTTTTCTAGAAACTGTTTCTAGGTTTGGGTGAGAGTGTCTGTGCATGTTTGTTTGTGCTTTTTTGCCTCTGTGTTGCCCTGTGCTGGAACGCTGAACTGTTCAAGCTGTTCTCTGCCCTTTGGCTGCTAGAGACAGCCACCAGTCCCCTTTCCATCCTGGAGAGACTGTGTACAGAAATGGGAGTATGGATCAATGTTTATTTACAGAAGAAATCTACCTTCTTAATTTTTTAATAACTTTGCAGTTAAATTATATGATGTGGTTTTTCAGTTATGCTGTGCTGTATGCAGAATGTGTTTATCTAATCTTTTAGGTTTTTACAAGTTCCAGTATAAAAGTTTTCCAGCCTTTTGACTTTTAATGAGTTCCACAGGAGGTCATATGCAAACACTATGAACTGTAGTTTCCTGTATATTTGTTTCCAAGACTACGGTCTCCTGATGATTTTAAATGTTTCCTTGATATTATAACCCGGCAAAGTATTACTATAACAAGTCTGAGTTTGTTGAAAAATCTATGGGATTTCTTAGAGAGTGTCTGAAGCTGGGATCTGTTTGTGTTTCACTGGATTTCATTTTAAAAAGATATTGTTTTCTGACAGTTCTCTTGATAAGCTGACCTGTCTGTACCAAAAGTTGCATTTTAGTAACTTTTAGTTGAGAGTAATACTATATTTATGTTACATTTTAATAGTTATTTAGTTCCTTAGATGATGAAGTTGAAAATTTGAATGAATTCGCTTGTTGTCAGATCATTGACTCCAGTACCTTTATTGAATAAAAACTACAAAATACCTGAAATAATATAATCATTACATCTTTACATTCTTTTAACCACTATTTACAGTTAAACTTTTTGAAAAGAAATTTACGCATGTGTTCTGAGTCGAATTGAGTGAAACTAATTGACTAATATGTGTGGACACAAAGTCTAGACATGGATTGGACTCTTGAATATATTTTGATTTAAATTACAGGCATCGATCTCCAGTTTCCAAGGGATGGTTTGTCTCTTCTTCAACACACCTGAATCAAATAATTACATCATTAGCAGAACTCTGTAGAAAGTTGGTCTCAAGTCATTAGAACTAAACATGTTATCTTTCAAGTCTGCTAGATCCATCTTGAACAGGTTTTCGGGGTGATGTGCTCTCTTCTCTTGCACAATGGCTTTTTCTTGCTACTCTTTCATAAAGGCCTGTTTTGTGGGGTCGACTACTCATAGGTGTTCTATTAAGATATTATCCCACCTGAGCTGTGGACATCTGTGGCTCCTCTAGAGATACTTTGTACTTCCTGGTTGCTGTCCTGAAGCTATAATCAACCATAGTTAAAAAAGTAATCTGAATTTGATCTCAGTATTTGGCATTTGCACCTTTTGTTTTGGCATTTGCACCTTTTGTTTACTGAGATTAAGAGGAGCTCCTGTGGTATACCATATCTTTGCAAAGATAAAAATTAACTACTTTCTCTTAATAGTGTACTTCACCATTTTAAATGGTTTTCATCTCTCTGCTTTATCTTTAGCAAAGTGCAGGCTCGGATGGCTTTTTCCTCTTACCTTCAGCGAGTCCAGTGCAGGCTTTTAGTTGAGAGCAAAACCAACTCTATCCCAACATGGCCAGACGATGACAACGACCAAATGGTAAGGTCTCAAATGGTAAGGTCTCATTGCTCATCAGATATGCTAACCTTAGCGTTATTAACACTGTTGTGTTGTTCTGTTGTTTTTGTCTGTACCTCTATCCTGTTCTCCCAGGATTTCAGAATTTTAAGTATTATATATTTGTTTTTAAAAGTTATTTACCTGTATTTTTGTTATCGTTTAGTAGAGTTTTAGTCAGTCTCTAATCATTGTACATGTCACTACTCTACTGTTGTTATCTATCTGATATTTTATTTCTGGGTGACTTTAGACTTTAGATTGGGTAACTTTAGATCATTTGCAGCAATTCTTTTCATGAAAAAAGTGCATGTCAAATAAATTAGTTCTATTCTGTTTTACTCATGCGTTTTTACCTCTTTCCCCATGTTATTTTTTTAGTTCAAGTAGAATTTGTGGAACACTCCAAAGCATTGTTTCCTAACTATGAATTTCCATTGTAATTATTTAGTCATTTGTGCTACGTAGCTGAAATGTGTATTAGACATTTGTGGCCACAGTGAAGGAAAACGTGGAGTGTAAGAGGCAGTCTGACTGGAAAGTCTTCAGTATACATCATCATCAGTGACCTCAAACCAAATCAGTTAAATTGGGGTGGACTTTTTTTTTTTTGAAGAACTGAAGCAAATGGGATATTTAAAAGCAGGCTATGATGAATCAGTATTTCTGCATAGCATAGCAGTGTTAAGATAATTTACATGCATTTTATTTGTCTGGACAGGAGCTTGTGATACGATTCTTGAGAAGAGCTGCCACTAACCTTCAACAAGACATAAACATTGTTTTGCCCAATCACCAGTTACCACTCCAAGATCGCAGACGCATCCTGTCCTACCAGTTAGGAGAGTTCATCCAGTGTTACAATAAGGTACTTCATCGTATAGTTTAATCACAGCATTTTGTCCTGATGAGCGACTGAAACTTAAGAGAATCATACTCGGATAACTGAGACCAGTTGCCTTCTGCTTTCCTTTCTCGTTTTCAGGAAACTGAGTTGATGACAAAGCAGGAAAGTGGCGAAGAGGAGCATAGTGTTAACGATAGTGTATTTCAAGAGTTCATTACGGGAGCAAGGTTTGTGAGTCTTTCAGTGGGTTTTAAAACCCACTAAAGACTTCCTTCATTCATTGCTTGGCTGTACACCGGTGTACTTCTATTGGATTTTGCAAAAGTCGTCATTCTCCGTGAACCTTTCTCGCCTTACAGTCGCAAACTTTAATGAATTCTATAATTATTTTATGTGACAGACCAACACAACATGATGTTCAATTGTGAAGTGAAAAAACCGCACATCGTTTTTAACATTTTCTACAAATTTGAAAAATATGTGCTTTTTTATATACCCCAAGCTAGAATCTTGCACAACTAATTTCTGTGAGAAGTAACTCAAGGTATTTTAGAGAACATTAGTGAACAAAAAAACATAAATACACAACTGAAAGGCCAGGACCAAAGTTTAAAGCAGGGTTGGTGCTTAAACAACTGTTCCCCAAGCTTTGGAGCTCTGCTCATTCAATCATCCAAGGTGATTGCAAGGCGTGTTAGTTTATGAAGCAGAACAGAAACCCTTGGTAACTTTAGGAGAAAAGCAGCTCATCTGGAAGAATCTGTTGACTGGATAACCATTAGTCATGCACTCCACAAATTATATGAAGAGTGGCAAGAGAAATATATTGTTGAAAGAAACCTATAAGAACACCAGCCTGCCATAAACCATGGAGGGAACTTTGCAAACATGTGGAAAAACCAAAATTGAACTTTGGCCTTCATACAGAACACACCGTGTGGTAGAAAAGTAGCAGATCTCCCTGAATCTGTTGTTACCATATGTGAAAAATGGTAATGGCAGCATCATTCTGTTGGGATGCTTCACTTCAGCAGAAACAGTGAAGATGGTCAAAGTTTATGAGAATTTGGTTGGAGGTGAACAGAGGAAAGTCTTGAAAGTAAACTCGTTAGGAGTTCCAAAACAGACTGGTGTGAAGGTTCATCTTTGAGAAGGAAAACAATTGTAAATTGTTTTCAGTTGGAATGCTTTAAATCAAATCTTATGTATACAAACACACAATTGTAAAACTTGTTGGAATGAATGTGTGTTTCCACTTCAGAGTTGTATGCTACTTCGTCACAAAATCCTCATAAAATACAATGGAGTTAGTGTTTTTCGAACATGAAAACGTTACAAGGGGTATGAATACTTTGGCTTGGCAGAGTACATGGTAATATGAACTAAGTGGACTCATTTATTTTAATGTCTTTTTTTCAACAGTGAGAACGATCTGGAGGAAGTACTGACATATTATACACATAGAAATAAATCAGCCAACGTCTTCTTAGGAAATAGAGTTAGAAGTGTCAAGGCTCAGGATTCAGGCAGCAGGGCAAATTCTAAAAGTAAGTTCCATATGGTTTTTTTTCATTCATATTCCTGGTTTTACATCATCTTGTCCTATTAAAGAACAGCTGCTTTTTCTTTTTAAACCACGTAAAAATAAACAGCAAAAGATGGACAGGTCAGCCATCTAATGATTAAGACTCAGTGTGGAGTCATAGTGTTTGTCAGATAACTAATGATAACACATCTTGGGCTTTCTTTCCCCTTTAAATAGCTTTGCCTGTGACCAAAGAGGACTCCAGAGCTTCAGAGTCCTCTGCAGGGAAAGTCTGCAGTGACCCAAACATCAAATCCTCTGAGACTCAATTGCCTGTGCAGCGTTCAGACCAACAGGCTGCCGTTACAGCCAGTAAAACTCAACCAGATGTCCAGTCATCTCAGCACTGCTCCGGTTATTCTCCAAGTTCAGACTGCGCAAACATTCATCTGCAGCACTGCTCTCCTACTACAAAATCCATTCCTCTTCACTGCCCCCCACCGCCGCCACCTCCGCAGCCACCGTCTTACGCACAGTCCTTGGCCAAGTCTAACTTTTGCCATTTGGAAACTCTTTCCGATCCTCCCGCATACACCTCTGCCCCCGTCATCACGCAGCCAAAAGTGAATCGGACACCCACATCTACCAGCTCTAATGGAGCTTCTGCTGTGCCACCAAACCAGGCTTTGAGAAGGATTCCGTCTGTTACTACACCCACAACCAACTCCAAAACTACATTTGCAATACCAAGTGCCACGCACATCTACAGCCAGACGTTCTCTCGACCTACCTCAGCATATCAAGGTAATCGAAGTTCTGTTGCATGTGGCTTTCACAACTAAATTAATGTGATATCCTCACCCTTGTTTCTGTTCATTTTAGGGATGTACAGGAGCCGTTCCAAGCACAAGAGTAACTCAGAGGGGACTTTGAGGGACTTACAATCTTTGTCTGCCCAAGCCCAGTCAAATCAGCAAGCATTCATCTCGGCCCTGCAGAAACTGGCTGACAAGCAGGTTGCTCGCCACTATGCCAGCTCCAGTCACATCAACCTGCTGACACACCATGTGGGTTTCTTTTTGTGTTAGTACATTATAATTCCTCTCCGAGGTTTATCCAATGTCGTAAACATCCCCCAATTTTTGAGTACTTGTTCGTGTGATCATTTGTACAAAAGGATTAATCTGCAGCTAAAAAAACATTCTAATATCAACATGTGAAAAGGTCAACCTTTTCTTCTTGGCTTACCATCAACACAGTGTAGGGTTGATCTGTTCATATTTTTTGGATCAGCTGATTAATAACTAAATAGAAAAAAGGTTCTTATTTGGAGCAAAATGTTTTAGATTTTCTATGCAATTGTAGTGTATGTAGTGTCTGGTGAAACAGGAATGTTATGCAACTCAGAAACTAAGTTTAAAAAGATTAAGGTATGAAAATGGATCCAAGCTGTTACAAGAAGCTATGCAGATATTAAGCAGCTGTTAGTGACCTCTGTAATATTTTTTTTTCAGGAAAAAAATCTCTGTAATGTTTTATATAGAGAAGAATTGTCAGTCTCACTGTGAGGTCTTTGATATTTTCCTTTGTTGATGCGTAAATCTGGCTCAGACCCCATGCTGATGGGCGGCGTGTAGCTGCTCATGCTTTCGGCAGACCTGTTGGAGCCGCGGAGGTCTGCTGCCTCTTTCAGCACACCTTCCTCCTTCAGCCCTCAACTCGCCTCCAGTCTGTGGGCTGGGGCGGCTGTGGGGGTGGGTCTGGAACTGAAGTTTAACGCTGGCTGGCCCAAACAGCGGTGAGCCGCATCAAGCCATGGCTCTGTGTGAGGTCTCATTATCAGATGCACCATGGGGGAGTGATTTCTGTTGATACTTAACAGGCAGCCACTTTTTTGTGGTAATTGATGCTTATAAATGGAGGAATGTGGCAAATTGGCACCGAGAAGGGGAGTGGCAGCTTGGCTGGCTCCATCACCACCTTCTCCCATATTCTCCAATGGTTTGGCCCTCGGCTTTGGGAGACCCTAAACCTTTCCTCCCTCTTTTGCCTCACTTCATATTTTTTTCAGTGAAGAGTTTTTTTGTGATGGCACTAGACCACACAGAGTGCAGGTTTTATGACTTCCTTTCTGACTGTACATTTTTCATTCTATCTGAAACTTGTTTGCTGTGTTTCCCAAGAGCAGTTAATCCAGGCTATGGCAGAAGCTTTAGTCAAATAGTCCAGTATTTGGCACTTATAGGGCTCAGAGAACATTTAGATTTTTCTAAGGCTCCAATTTAAGTCATTAAATCACTTTCTGGGGGAAAATGGAGAACTTTGTAAACATGAACGACACTCCGTTGCACAGTTGACCTCAGGGTTTAAGTAATTACTCACTCAGAAGCAGGGCCATATAAACAGAAAGAGACTGACACTGAGTAAAACCAGGCATGGCCACCATCTCCATCATGGTGCTGTGCAGTGATGCGACAATATGATTGTGGATCCTTTCACCATGTGTGTCTGTTTATGTCCACTGTTGTAAGATTGCCTTGTTTTAAATAAATAGAAAGTCCCGTAAACATGACAGAAGAGGACGGTGCAGGATAGAGATGGATAGCTCCTGAGAGAACATTTATTGTTTCTGTGAATCCCTATGTTTTGTCTCTTTATGAATATAAACAGTATCCATAACCAAATGTATTATATTTCCTCCATTTAGATTTTGTTCTTTGAAGGAATATGACTTGTCTAACTTTAGAAGTAAACTAGCGCTGTGGGTGCGTAACAATATGCTGACACATTTTTCTTTTGTGTCGTACAAGGCCTGGCAGCTCAACAGTTTTCCCATTGGACATTTAGCACACAGGAGAAAATAAAGTAAATAAAATACCACAATGGTATGATGTATGATTAATACTCCCGTAATATTTCACTGAGTCTACAGAGTAACTTTGAGATGAGGTTGATTGGGTTATAAGCACATTTCGACTGTTCCTGTTAAGGATGGAGGAGGTAGAGGTGGAGGCTGAATATAGTGTTAAACAGAGACTAGCTGTGCCATGTACTGTGTATACATTTCACATAGATACCAGAGATAAAGGCAGTCAGCTGAGGGAGGAACTCAACAGCTTAAAACACAGGATTTACTGTTACCAATGGCTTGCACTGAAAAAAGCTGATCAGACAAAACATCTCTAAGTGCAATAAAATTAAGATGAATTATTTCTGTGTTCAGCTGACCAACCTGAACCTGGCCAACAAGATGCTGGGTCGAGAGAGTTACACACTGAGCCCTAAAGCTTCTGCAACCCACAGGCCTGTGAGAACTTTTCAGGCCGGAAAAGACTATCTAGCCGGTACAAGGTAAGTTTTGCAGAGTATGGAGAAAGTTATCAGAGGGAAATCAGACATGTTAGGACTAATAATAGTAATAGTGATTTAATGTATTTTGTTTTTTATAGTATTTTTATACTCTTCATAATCACTTTCAACATTGGCTATTGTAAAAAAAATTATTATGAAATTGTTTCCAATGTGTTTGAAGCATAACAGTTTATATTTCACTTTAGTTAGTGATTGCTTAAGCTGTATCCAGTTGTTCCTCAAGGATCTGTCCCTGGACTGATGTTGTTTATACTTTATATCATAGGTCTTCAGTTTGTAACTGTACAATTTTAATTGACCCAGAAGAAGCCCAACACAAGACTGAAATCAATCACAAAGAAGCAACTCGATAGATCTAGAAGTCATGATGATGCTGGTCTGAGGATTTCAGAAATATTTGATGTACAAACATCCTTCATGTTTTTAGTCTAAAAATAAGAAAACATAGAGAGATCTTCGGTGTTGTTAACTATACTACACATGATCAGCCTCCACTTTTACTTTTTTGCTGCTGGTAAGGGTTTGTGCAGAATAGCTCAAACTGCTTCTTTTTAAAAATGAAGTGTTTGAAATGCCATCTTTGAAAGCACAATACGTTGAAACTTTAAGGAGATGGACTACAGAAGTAAAATAGCTTATTGCTTAGCAAGAACCAGAAACTGATTCAAAATTAGACAGTAACAGATTCCATGTGTATTAAATGAAGTTTTCGGTGAGTGTTACTGGTATCGCACAAGTTGCTAAAAAAAACCCCCCATTGACTCCATGATTAATGTTACAATGGGCGTAAAGAAGTCTTGCTTTCACCTTCATGGTGTCTAGTGTCTTCGCACTGATGGGAATGTTTATTTCTACTGTAAGCTTGGTTTCTTTAATAGCTTATATTTAATTAAAAAGCACTTCAAAGTTATCTACCATGTTATGAAAGTTTTATATTTAGCAAACATGCACTCTCCAACCTTAAGAAAACCTTGATGTTGCTTCTGGTCCAGTTTCAGCCTTGTGTTTATTTTGCTGCGTTTTATTTGCTGTCCTCTGAGACATCACACAGATACTTATCCCTTATGAGGTCAGATGCAATCACCACAAAGTTAAACGTCATGCCTTTCACCTCATGGACATTAAATACAGTGTTTATGTATAGTCCTGAACTATTCTTGCTGTTGAGATTCAGTAGGGAAGCTTTAAATGTTAAAATGTGTTTGAGGAAGCCTCCTTTTACCTTCAGGCGTCAGGATCCTGTTCAACTATGAAACGTTATGTTCCACTTTGGCCAAACTGCTGTCCTGAGATTTTTGTGTTTTAAAGCTTTAGTTTCACTTTAGTGTCAAAACTTAAATTATAGCTGGCTACTTGGTCACGGTCAATAGAATCCAAAGGCCTGTTTAATGGTCTTTAACAGAATATTAGATTAAAATTGGTTGGTCTTTGGGAAGGAATTGCCCCTCCAGGCAGTTTGGTGAAACTTGGTGCTGGAAAATTTTTCTCTCTTTATGTAATTGAAGTTGTGTTTTCTTTCACTGCCTGGACCTTTTTGGCATCCAGGGTAACTTATCCTCCACTGTGCTTTTTTGCTGCAGTAACCAGGGCAAAAATAAACACAGGTAGAAATTTACCCTGAAACTGGCACCGGTATGGAGGTCAGACTTTTTGCAATGGCTGTGGGCTAACGTTGCAACTTACCAGTGAAAGGATGGTAAACATTTCTAATTGGTAAAATTTCCCCTGCATTTTGTTTCTTTGATTTGCCAGCTCATAGTCTTTAATCCTATTGAGACAGCAACACTTTTTAAGTGACTTAACAGATGAAGTTAAAGTTTTAAAAGTAAGACGTACAGTGGTCCGATTGGTATCATGTTTTTTTTTTTATCATTTTGCCTTGCAGCAAGAAAGGCCTGGGTTCTTTTTGTATGGAGTTCTCCTTATGCAAGTGTAATGTCCTCTCTGGGTACTCTGGCCTCCTCCTACCAATTTTAAGTCTGAACAGAGGAGCTGCTGCTAGTGTGTGGTTACATTTTAGGCTTTTATCATAAAATATTTGTGAACAACTACAAACTTCTCAGTAAAACTGATTTTAGTTTATTTTCAGAGGTTAACTGCTTTGAAACTGTCAAAATTATGTTTTTAACTAGACAATTATAATACTGGTCAGATCACCCCCTTTCCTTTCTTCTACTACTTCAAGTCTGAATCGGCTCAGTTCATTTAAGGCCCATAAGAAATCCATTCTATATATTTCTTTTAAGTTTGAGTGGCAAACCTTGACTTTTAAACTGTAACTGCTGTGAATTTATATAAACGTTGTTTTAGTCTAGCTTAACTGTTTCTAATCACATTCTGGACTCCAGTGTTGAGGTGCATGTCCTCAGATCACCATAGGAAGAGAATCTGCTCAGCGTCAGAGGACGTAATGGACATGAAGGATCAGATTTAGGCCCTCTGTAATGGAAACCCACTCATAAAATGGCCTTGGTAGATATAAAGATGTCTTAAGTTCCAGAGCAAAAAACTCATAGTTGAAACGCCTCAGAACAACTGTGTGCTGAGTGCCCATAAAATATGTCTTACCTCTGTGTCTGGTGAAATTCCTCTCTTCTCACTCCTGTCACGCTACAGTGAGAAGGGAAAAAAAAGAATCAAACTGTCATGGTATATGGTAATAGATGAGGAATATCATCCTATACTACACATGATCAGCCTCCACTTTTACTTTTTTGCTGCTGGTAATGTAAATGGCAGTGCCTCAGACAGCTTGGCCTGATCTCTGACTCTGGTTTTCCAGTCCAGTCCTTAAATGTATCGAGCTGTCAGGGTATTCCTGGAATGTCTGGCCGTTTCCCCTTTACAAATGTTTTTATTTCCACCAACCAAGAGGGGACTTTTTATAGAATTTATTATTCGCGAATGGCTTCATCTAACCTTCATGGGATACTCTAGAAACAGAAATCAGAGTTTGAAAGATGCAGCGCTGTCAGGGACCACATTTTTGTTCTCAAATGTTATTTCCTCATAGTCTTTTAGATGTTCTTTTATCAAGCAATTTATGTTTGTGTGGATGTGTTTTTATTGTGCTGAAATATCTAATATCATTAGAAATGCTTTTGATTTCATACACACTGTTTCATAAAAAACTGAATTTTCTCCCCTGTTACTCTTGGACCTATGGCTTGTGCCAAACATACTGAAACTGTTAAGCACACTGACTCTTTTTAACGACCACAGGGGTGAGGTATGATGGGTTTCAAAGGCCAGCGTGGCTCTTTGAAGTGCCGCTGCCAAGATCTAGCAGGTATGCTGCATCAGCATTCTCAGAAGTCATGCCTAAATCCTTATGGCTGACAATTGAAGGATGTTCAATCATACAGCATGTCCTGTCACAGTCACTGTTAACCTCACTTCCGGTCTCGGACATCTTTGTACATTTATGTGAAGTGAAGTGATGTGCTTTAAAAACACAAATCTTAGGCAAACGTTTAGAGACCAAGCCAACTCCCCACAGTGATTTCTGTAAAATGTCAGAGATTGCACGGACTGTTACAAACATGTTCATATCTTTTGGACCTATTCTTGTTTAGCCACATTGCAAAGTGTGTTTCATTTGGATTTTGTGATACACCGACAGAAAATAGTGCACAATTGTGAAGATGAAGAAAATCAATAAATGATTTGTAAAAATCACAAAATGTAAAACGTTTTGCAAATCATGTAAAACATGAAAGTGTGCCACACATTACCATTGCATGGTAATGTATTGACTTATGGCTGGTTTACTATTACATCCCCTTTTACTCTGAAATGCCTAATTAAAATCCAATGCAACCAACAAAAAAAGGTCCACGCTGACTCTGGAGTAGCTACACAGATCCTCGGCTTAAGTGTTTGAATTTGTTAACAGGACAACTCCTAATCGTGCAGCATACCATCCCCACAGTGGTAAATTGTCTGCATGTCTATGGCACTTTATCAAGTCAGGGGACTCCAAAGCAGTTTGCACTGCAATCATTTGTTGTGGTGAGCTGCACTGTATTCTGGGCAGAACGGGGTTCGCACTGGCAACCCAGCGGTTACAGGACAAAACTTCAGGTTATGTGGTGCTTGTAATACCAATCTCCAATGCATAACTCATCTTCATGCGGATCAGGAGAAAGTTGAGATTGTGCTTTCTGTCCACAGCAGCTGAATTGTCCATAATTTAAGTGCAATCATTTAATCTTATTGTTTCTATGTAGTTACTGCAACCAAAATCAGTGGTTTTTGTCACTGTGGAGAAAATGTTACATGTATTCATTTGTTTGACGTGTGATAGGATAGTGTGAATTCTCTTGTTGAATATTAATTAAATTTAATGACAATTAAATGCAACTGTCTATGTTACTATTGTCATTTCAAAAACTGATGGGTAAAAATAGATTATAGATTATTTTTTTTGTTCCTGTCAGTCAAAATGACAGACAGCAAAAAAGGTCATGCAACCTGTTTGTCTTAACTAAGATGCTGAGCCATTAGTTTTCAGGGCTTTGATTTGCTGGGAGCACCAGTGGCTTTGCTGTTTTTAATAATCAACTTCAATATTTGACTTCTTTTACAGTCAGCAGTTGCTTCTTGACGTTCTTTAGTTCTTCAGCCAAATGAAACTATTGTGAAATGTTTCTAGTATTTTATCCTTTTTTATTGTTCATGATATAACTTTTGCTAGTGTTCTTTTCTGTACAGCTCTATAAAATAGGAACGTCAAAAACTGTACTTTTACAGGGTGTTGTTTAAATTTAATTCAGTGCCTTGTAATGTATTGCAAGGGTGTAACATTTCAAAAGACCTCTTGAACGCCCTTTCTCCTGACTAATCAGAAAAACTGCTGTAAAAGTGTCTGAATTCTTTGAGTCAGTGTACCACAAAAAATGGCCTGATGTCTCTGTTCCTTTGAGTTTAAAAAGAGGTTTCATTCTCTCTGATGGGTAACAGATGTTATACTATGAAGGAGAAGCCTTTAGGTAAGAAGAGCTGAAATTCCACTGAGTAGATTTAGTTCCACCAGATATAAACACCTCTGGAACGAAACTGATAGCAACTATCTTTGAAATATTACTCAATATCTCTGAAAGAGTGCAATCCCTACTTACATAATAATTATTTCATTCAGGTGGGTTGCACTAGAAATAAACCTCAACGTTTCAGGACACCACATACAGGACAAATCACATCCATGTTTTAGAATGGTCTAGTCAAAGCATAGGCATAAAACCTATTGAGAATGTGTGGCAAAACTTGAAAACTGATGTTCAGAGATCATTTCTATACAGTCCGACTGAGCAAACTAGTAGAGGCATATCTCTACAAACAAAATGTGGCTGTACAAAGTATTGCATTTGAGGTGGAGGTGAACAAATGCATGCCACAGATTGTAAAATGAATCAATGCAATAAAAGGTGCAAATATTTCAGAGACCAGACATTAAACTGATTTGTAGCTGGATAGAATAATAAATGCAAAATAAAAAATAATTAATTAACTAACTAAATTAAAAGATAAAAAATAAATGGAAGTATACATTAAATAAACAGTATAGTGTAAAGACGTTTGGCTGTGAAGTTATTTTTCCATACTTTTCCACCATGTTTACCAAGCTTGTATGTATGTCTCTGCCTTTTATAGTATGGCTTTGAGCCTTCAGCCGTCTCTGATGATCTACATATAATGATGTAGATCATCAGATCTACTTCAGACTTCAGACTACTAGTAGGCTCCAATCCTATATTTCTCAGGCTTTTTCCAGCTTCAACATAAGCATTCCTTGCATCACTGGACTGAACAAAACCATAAATACGAGTCATTTTTCGCATTTCAAGGATGTTTCTTCTCTGTGTCATGTTGTTGCAGGAAAGCTCTATAAACAAACACTGATTAATGGCTGGAAATACCCTCACGGTCTTGAGGCGTCTGATGTTTACACTGACCAGGCAGGGCTTCGAGATAGTCTGGCATGATGTCATTTCAAACGGTCCATTTTCCCACATTCACTCCGAGTTAGATTGATGCTGCACATGTGCTCCCGCACTGCTCTGTTGTTCAACAGCAAATTAGAAGATGGCAAGCACAGCAGGGAGTGAATTGACACTCCTGAGCAGTCTCTCTAAATTGGTGGTTACTCCTAAAAAGTTTTAGCTGTGCAGATATGGTGTGATGAGAGTATCAGATGGAAATCTTTTTTTTTTTTACCTTTCAAATATTTTTTTTCTCTTTATTTCATTGGTTGCTGTGCTGAACAAAATTTCTTCCTCCCGTTGTTAAGATTCTTGTTATCTATAGAAGTTTTTGTGGTGTTGACAAGACCTCAACATATGCTCTTACTGTGATAGGGCAGTATGGATGCAATGTATACTGATAAAACAGCAGGGCTAAAGGACGTGGCGGTCCAGTGTGCAAACAGCAGTCAAGTTAGAGGAAATAACTGCTGTAAACAAGGAACAAGTTCTTCTTTTGTCCCCCAAGAGTTTTAGAATCACTGGCCTCATAGGGTTCACAGACGAGCCTTTGTTTCCAGAAGCTTGAAAAAGAAAGAAAGAAAAAGAAAACTTCTCTGGCTCCTAATCACATCAGTTGTTTTTGCGATATATGAGCTATTATGTGAACTGAGAAATGCATGGGCGGATAGCATGTTCACATGGGTTTAAGATCCCTTGTGTCTTTGTTTGGCCGTTCAGGACAAGGAATATTTTTTCACTTGAGCGACACAAGATTATTATCCCACAGTTTGCATTGTTGTTCAAGATTAACTGAATTCTAATTTTAGAGTTTATCATAGTTGAAGTCTAAAAATATTGCAGCTATTGTGATTTTAGGTCTGCTGTGTTTTCTTTAACTATGGACCAACGGACAAATGTTATTGCATGCATGGGAGGAATTTCCAAGAACATTTTGTTGTTAAGACCCCCGAGGCTCCCATTTCTTTAACTGTACATGTATCCCGTTTTTTTTCCTCCTTCTCCCACTCTGTATTATATTCTTCCTTGCAGCTCCCAATAGATCCCTTTATGGCATTATTTTTGGCTGATGTTATATATATACAGCAGCAAACCAGACTCCACATAGACTCAATTTAAGCATGTCTAAAGGACAGGCTGGTCACTTCATTGTTTGAGCAGGAGGAAAATGAAGAAAAAAGGTTGAAGCAGGTTTAATTCTAATGGCAGATAATCCAGTTATAAGCGCATGCAGCTTGTCAAAAAGTTTTCTTTCCTTTGGAATGCAAATGGGACATGACACCAGAGGAGCACTGATGCTAAGAACAAAGATTTTTAGCTCGACCCTTGCTTGCTGCAGCCTTGTCCTCTGCTTTGACCATGATCGGATAACTTTGATTTGGGGCTTCTGTGGCCCTTGCAGCTACTGGTTAGGATCTTAAAAGCTGGCTTCTCAAAGAAAATGAAAGTTTACAGATTCATCTAAAAAAATCTATGTATATGTTGTGAAAAAGTTCAATAATTTTTCTCATTCATCTCAGAAAGTGAAACAAAGGGAAATGTATAGACATAATCATAATTTTGATGATTATGGCCTAGAGATAATACAAATATAAAATTTAGGGTGTCAGAAAATTAAATATTACATAAGATAACAAAATATATTTCAAAGCGAAATGGAAAGCTACTGCAAGTCTGTTTAGTCAATACTTGATTTTGCTTGACAATCCTTTCAAGATGTTGTTGGTGCACCTTTTTGCCTTCCACTCAACTTTATATAAACATGCCTGGATAAAGCAGTCGTTCTTCAGCAGTAACCTTTGGGCATACATTCCTGATGAGGAGTGTCAACAGTCAATAGTCAAGTCAACAATTTCCCCCATAATTTTACAATATTTCTATTTTCACAATCATAGACAGTGGATTTTGGGTTTTTACTAATCCATAATCATCATAACTCCAGGATATATTGGCTTGAAATATTTCATTCTATGCAATACATGAGTTTAATTTTCTTAAATTAGTGACAAAAATACAGATCTTTATTACCTGCTGTTACATCTCTTGTTTGTAGACAAATGAGGAAAAAATGCAGCTACAATCTCTTTCCAGGGTCACCAAAGAATACACTCATACTCATTTGATTGAACTCAGATTTAACTCATATAGCATCGTTGGTTTGAATATTGCAAATAGAGTGTGATTTCTTGCTTTCAAATTGTTTTTCTCACTTCTGCTTGTCATTGCTCACAGGCCACCAAAGTGCAAGGAGGGTATATGGGACCCACAGATGCAGGCTGCCCCCAATGTGGTGATGGGTTTGAACTCCACGCAGAGCAGTCAGTCAACCAAAGGAAGCTACCAGTTGCAGTTTGCTATCCAGCAGCTGCAACAACAGAGATTAAAGACCCATCAGCTTTTAGACAGGGACCATTCCAGAAACCAGGTACATATGCAGGAGAAAAACAAGTGGACTTCAACGATTATTATATGCAAAATATTGCTTTGCCTAACATTACCATTTTACAAAATTATCTTTTCACTATTGAACTCTTAAATATTTTACTAGCCACACATTCTGCTAATCTTTTTCCAAACCACGTGTTTGGTGGCAACATCGTTTTCAACAGGAGCTCATTCCAAGACAACCCAAATCATGCAACCTATGATAGAGTGGTTTAGATCAAAGCATATTTATGTGGTACAATGACCAAGTCAAATTGTAGACCGAAGGAGAAAATAGTTTGTCACAGAAGCGCTAGTCTGATGGCGCTTGACTTTGGACTTTTAATTACAGCTGAAGGTGGTTCTACTAAATATCAACTTGGGAAAGCTGGTCAAAGCCTTTCAATTAAAAAGTCATGTTTTTTTCCTTTGTCTATATTTCTCACGAGTTTGTGTGAAGATGTTACATAAAATACTAATAACAAATTGAAGTTTGCTTTTGTAATTTGTCAAAATATAAAAAATTTAAATGGTATGAAAGTTTTGTAAGACACTATATGGAATCTCCAGTTTTACCAGCCCATTTTATGTCAAATTTGAGCTCCATTTAGTTTTTTGGCCTTGCAGCATGGATATAATTTTGATGCATGATTGTCACCAGTTGTAATTTAGCAACAAGAAACACTTAAAGTTATATCTGATCCACCGTGAAGGCTGTAATTTGAAAGTATTTACGTGGCTGTTTCAAAAAGCAGGAGGGTTTCAGGACTGTGCTTATGGTAATTCATCCTATCTTTTTTTTTTACTTTGAAGAATCACCTTTTGGTTCAGTTTCAGTTGTAATTTGCTTTTGCTTTTATCAGTATAAAGAGATTCATAGATTAGATATGCACATCGCACTTTTCAGCATTACATATCTGAACAAAATCAGAAGCCATGTTTACTGCTTCCACTAAGGAGTGATGTGCTTCTTAGTGTTGGTCTGTCAATTTAAATCAGTGCTGAAATCATCACAAAATTACTCAAAGGATATAAATTATTTTGCAAGGCATTAAATGAATAAAACAAGGCTGCAGCCAGAGCAGATTTGAAAGATCTTCAGAAAGCCTGGAGAAATATTAATCAAAGTCACTTTAAGAGATTCCAAGAATCTTTGGGAGTGATCAAATGTTGAGTCATCCAGAAGTTTGTAAGCTTCCTGCGTTCATTCTTTACTTCCATTAGTGATTGATTTTGGTATTTTAATTCAAACGTACCTTGTTTCGATAGCCTTATTTTTTTTTTCTGAGCAGACTTTAAATAATTGATTATTCTGGATCAACTAAAGCTGCAGAAACAGGCTTTCTATTGATTGTGAATGCTCATGTGTATTCATGGGTGCTGGTTAGAGAGACAGAAAGAGACGGGGATCTGTTCCGGCACTCTAGTCCACGTTCCAGTTACTGGGTGCAGACTGTTCGGCTCCTCCACTGGCTTGGCCCCGGGCCACCTGGCAGCCAAAGAAAGGTGCCCTTCCTGGCCCCGCTCAAACTGAATTGTGGCCATAGGGCTTGCAACCTGGAAACCCAGCTTCTCATTTATCAACACAGGAATTACATCAGATATTTCATGTCACCTCATTGGCCCTTTGAACGGCTACTCTGAGAAACTGGAAAACCATTAGTATGTCAGATAGCCGTATAAAGCAGCAGAGAAAATAGCATGGGCATGAGATGTGGAAAGAATGTATGCAAGCATTCCCTACTGCTACTTGGACTGAGTAAAATGTGCTTCTAAAGTATTATGTCAAAAAGACAACAGCATATTCCTCCTTCCCAAGCCTTTGAAGAGCTTTTCCATAAACAAATAAATGATGTGGGGAATTTGCTTTTCATTGCAGCCAACTTCAAAAAATGTTAAGCTTGTTTTGATACTGGATGGTATTTCATTAATATCTGCACTTTTCCATGCCAAGCACTTTGATACTTCATCTTAATAAAAGAGGCCAGAGTATTTTCCATGACTAACCCATTCTAAATGTGATTACACTTCCGCTGGCCACTTTTGGAGTGGCTTGATTTATTTTGTCCTTAAGAGTACACTACTCCCATGGATGCATGCTCCACCTTTCATCTAAGTTTTGTGGAGTTCCCTCTGGAGACCTCTTGCCTTTTATTGTGTACGAACACTCATTATTAATCCTTCTTCTTCCATGATATTAGTGAACAGACTCTCTTGGGACAACAGAAATTAATGACTAATTAAATTATTTCTACCTATTTTCAACCTCTTTTTTGTTCAACCTCTCATTGGAAAATGGAAAGCGCATTGCCCAACTGCAAACCTACTGAGATGTATCTGTTCATCAAAAAATTATACGCAAGGTGGCTGGAGAATTTCAGAGATCCATATCTGTCAGAGTGAACAATATTTTAGTCAATTACTCAACAAATTTGGCATTTATGGGAGATTGGCACAAAAAAGTCATAGTTGAAAAAAAGCAAAAGATGTTCTGTCTGCAATTTGCTAAGAAGGGGCTCTAGTGAGATGAGATGAAAAATAAACTCCTTGGCCTTTATGCAACATGCACAAATGTGAGGTAGATGGTTGACAATATTTCCGATCTTGCCATGTATGCTGAAGTATTACTTCGGTGTAAATGTGAAGATTTAACATAATTTGCACGAGGGCATTAACTAACAATTATTTTAGTAATTGAGTATTCTATTGATTATTCTGACAATTAATGGAATAAAAATTCTGACTTTTTCTCTTACCGGTTGCAGAGAAGCTGGTCAAAGCCGATGGAAAGATGCAGCTGTTACTGCTTTATGCTCCTGAAGCTTCCGTTTTTCCCACACTCTTCCCACATAGCATAAAGCTAAACAAGTAATGAACAGGTTTAGATCAAATCACACCAGTTTCTTAGAATGATCCGGTCTGAATTATAAAATAAATATATTTTTGGTTCTAATGCGACAAAATGTGAATTTCTTTTAAAGGGAATTACTTTTTTATGAAAATGTTGCTTTTGTGCCATTTACCTTAATCGATGTTGCTTGTTTCTCCTCCCAGACCCAGTTTCATGACCAGACAAGCAGTCCACACCTGCAGGTATCCACAAAACCATCCAGCTTACATGTTCAGTCCAGTCCCAACCACAGGCAGACCAGTGTTAGCCCGGTTTATACTCCAAAGCCACCCAGCAGCACGCTGGAAGGACAGGGCAGGAAAACAGCAACAAAGCGCCTAATAAAGTAAGTTTTGCAGGTGAATTGCTGTATTTCTACTTAATGGTGAATGAAACAATGTTCCTGTGGGCTTTCCGAAACATTTAGAGCACTGGGGTGGCAGTTCTGGCCCCCGCTCATGGCAGGAGACGGGGTTCATGGGATCCTTGAGTTCAAGCGGACACGGCTAACGCTAATGAGAGTCAGAATATGAGTGAAGTGTACTGCTCCCAGCCTTTTGGCCGTGGGCTCTATCTTTCTGTTCAGTAAACAACCTCATCACAGGCCTGATTTCTGCCTGAACTGTAAACAGAATTTGGTTCAGTGAAAGGGCCCGGGCTCTGGGCTCCATTTAAATCCTGTTTGGTTTGGAGATAAGGTGAAGAGTACAGAAGGAAAAAGAAAAAGAAAAGGGGTGAAACTGGGCTCAACTGCCAGCTATTTCCCTTGCTAATTTTATGACTGTTACTGAAACATCCATCCAAATTACACAACAGCAGCAAGCCTTTGTGATCAGGGCTGATTGTTTGTTTAAAGCATGCTGGCAGAGGGCTTTTCAGTTTTGTTTAATGTAGAAGAGGAATGGCACAACAGGGGAGTTTAACTCCAAATTATCGACAACAAATCTATCTGGCAGTTAATTTTTTAGTTATTTTGACTCATTCACTGCAGCCAGGATTGAGCTAAACATTTACTCTGCTATCTGTCGCATTCAGCTTGTTGCCACATTGGACCAACTTTACCTGGCATAGAAGGAGTTAGTGAGGCAGAGAATGGATGATATAGCGTGGTGAGCTGTATTTGCTTGCATGTGTGTGTGTGTGTGTGTGTGTGTGTGTGCGTGTGTGTGTGTGTCTTCCTGGCAGTTGCTGTGTTTACCTTCTGCATGTGGAATTCCAGAGCCCCCCTCACACTCTCCTCTGTCCTGCATTTTTGTGGTCGACCAGTGTGACAGGGGAGAGTGTGGGAAAAACGGAAGCTTCAGGAGCAAAAAATGCGCTGATGGAAACAATGAAAAGAGAGAATAAAGAGATGAGAAAATAAAGAATGACAGAGAAAAGTAAACTCTATCCAGAAGAAAGAAGATGATTGTTTCCAGAAAATGGAAGGATTATAAGTTGCTTCCCCATTTTTCCAGGGCTCTTTTTTGGAGCAACTCTATACCTTTGTTATTGAGGCAGATCTGAAACGTATCCCAGTGCCGAGCTAATCCCCTCCAACTTATAATAGAATCACTGTGCTGTATGTATTGAGAGAGTTCATGGTTGCCCCGCTCTCCAAACTCCATTCTATCAAATTGTAAAATTATTGTTTGATACACATATTCCATCCTTTGTTCCCCAGGAATTTCCATGAATAATGCACTGCTGATCTTTGTTAGCGCTCTTTGAAGGTCTAACGCATTAAATCTTTCCAAGTACTGCCCACTCCATTTGGAAGGGCTGACTTCTTTACCCATTAATTTTCAGATTTAGCTCATAGTTATTTACTTAACCTGAAAACATTTTTCGCATTACAAACACTTTGACATTTTTCACATTACAAACACTAACTTAGATTTGATGTGATAGAACAATGCACATTATTGTGTAATTGTCAAATGGAAAGAAAATGTTCTGTGATTTACACTAATATCCCTGAATAAAAACTAAACTAACACTCTACATTCATCTATAGTTGATGTGCAGATGGATGGAGCTAAATGTAGGACAATCCTGGAAGAAGATTTATTTAGATGCTGCAGAGTTGAGACTTCCTTCAGGTCAAAACTGTAATTATTCAACTAGAGCTCCAATGGAATCTCTTGTACACACCCAAATCAAAGCATATTTATGTATTAAAATGACCCAATTAAATTCTTGAAGCTAAGTCCCATCGAGAATTGGCTGCACAACAATTGATGTTCACCTAATCTGACTAAGCCAGATCTATTTTAGTGTCTTTGTGTGCAAAGGTGGTTGAAACAAAGCCAAAAGATTTATGTCTGTACTTGCCACAAAAACAGGATCATCAAAATAATGTCAGGTGGACTGAACGCAGAGGCTTGCCACATTCTTCTGATATTTAAAAGTAGAACAGATAAAATACTACATTCCTTTCTTGCAACTTGACAATTTTCCACTGATTTTATCCCCTAAAATTCTAATAAAACGCCTTAAAATCTGTGGTTGTAGTATGATCAGTAGTGAAAAAGTTAAAAGGCTGTGAATACTTTTGCAGACTCTCAGCCTTCAGGATTGGCGTTAAAGCTCTGCTGCCACAGAGCATGCTCAGCAAATGTGCAGCTTGTTGGTATCATACTTAAGCAGGGCCCTCTCTTTGCTCTATCATCATACCCCAGCTGCCAACTTGAGGGGCTGCAAAGGCTCAAAGTGGTATGACTTCAGCGAAGGCTTTGAAAGCAGCAATTTGTAATGCAAATAAATGAGCCTGTTTGGTATTTTGTTTGCAAGGTTTGGTTAGTCGCAGCTGTAACTACGGAAACCCGTGCTGTCGTGTGGCATTACTAATAGAGTGACAATTACACCGGCGCCATTAATGTCAACCTTGCTGTTGCTCTCACTCCCTATTAATCAGCCACAACAGTAGTTATTTTCATAGAATACTCCATACAGACAGAAGCCGCCAAGCGTGTGTTTATGGTTAAACTTTATCCGCTGTTGGTGAGGGTGGAATCGCATTAGGCACACACTACTGGCGCAAGCACAGGAACTGCAGATTTGAGTGAATTGTTAGACTTTCCCAAGCGTTGAGCTTAAAGAGCCGTCTGCACACACTGCAGGTTCAGAATCAGCTCTCACCTGCAACGTTTCTGGCTGCTGTTTGACTCTTAAAGTGACAGAGTGAGAGACTGTTGACAAAGAAAGTGATGTGAAAGGACCCAAAGGTCAAGCTCCCCCCCCCACTCGCCCTCTCAATGTGAAAGGGGCTGCTTCCTGTCGAGGTATGCCACGCTTAAAGTGGGCCAGTTCTATTTGTGGTTGTGTAATGGTATGAAAGAACAACTGTGCAGCCCCTTACAAGGAGGCAGTGTGTACCCTCATTACCTTATTAATGCTTCTTTGGCATGCTGCTGTTATGGGGCGAGAGGTTAATGCCAGCTAAGCTTTATTTATTGTTCCCCCTAAAAATGCTCAACAGAATTAATGCATAAGGTTACAGACGTGTCTGTTCATGCTTTATGCTTCAGTAGCTCTTTTAATAGTGTGCTTCTGGAAAACACTGCACTTACTGTGCAATTATGTGAAAAGAGGTATTTAATTTCTTTTCTACAATCTTTAGACTTGTTTATGAAGCCCTGTGAGGTAAATATACCTCTGTATTTGCTAATTACTCTACATATTCTTTATGTTCGTAACCTTTTCTTGCAGCTTGACTCAGTCAGTAATCACCGGGCTATGCTAGCCGGTGTGATAATCACATCACCCTGGACAAGGAGTAGGAATTTCTCTCCTTCTTGTCACAATAGCTCTCGAGAGGCACTCAGTAAACACATAGCCCCACCAGGCTCCACAGACTGCACACAAAGTGCAACTATTTGAATCTGAGTCCGCTATACTCATGTCATAGGGCTCGCATGGCAGCTAAAACAATCACACGCAGGGAGAAACTGTTTCTCTTCATGTTTGGTTTTGATGTTTAGCTCCACAGAGGCCTTGGAGGTCTGCAGAAGCAAACAGTCCTTGGGATATTTTTTCCCAACATTGCTTTCTTAAAAAAATAATCATTTTCATTCGTTGTTCATTCTTAAGCTGTTTCCGATTAACAGGCAGATGTCCTCAGAGAGTTCAGCCAGTGGTTCCATGTCAAGCAACCAGCAGGTGGTCTACGAGGCCATTTGCGGTAAAACAGGTGGGTTTGATGTTGCAGCTCTATATGCACATATACTTCATGCTGTACCACAGTCCTCAGAATGGGGGGAGTTATGCCTCTGTGCCAGTGTTAGTGATTACAGGCATGCATAGTGGACATTCCCCATTGAGGACTGATAAACACCACTGGATATTTTTATCCAGCTCCTTCTTTCTCAGTTGCTGACTGTTAAAATTTAGAGCATTGTTGGAGTTTGAAATAACAGTCAAACTTCAATTCCAACTAGTTGTTACACTGGGGTTTTATTAGTAGTACCTGTAGGAAAGCCTCTTTCCAGGATGCTATTGAAGAAAGGAGGAGAAAATGTTCAATGATTTGAAAATCAGGCTGACTAAGCAGTAAGGACAAGTTTGGAATTGTCCTATTTTTCATCTCAACTTAAATTAATTTGTAATGTTTTTCGTTTTATCTTCAGATATTTTTTCTTTTATTTCGTGTATTTTATCTAAACATCCATCCATACATTATATTGTTTTGCACATTTCATATTTAAATTTTGAACTGAATCGTCTATTTTTGGTAAATTCAAATGAAACTTTTTCATTCATGCTTTGAAATGGGCATGACTGACACATCTGTTCATTTCAGTCTGGAAAAGTAAGAAATTTGGTCACAAAAATCAGAAAGTTTGTTAATTTTTGTAAATTAATTATATTGAACTTGAGACTTTTATGCATCTAACAAGCTCATCTCTATTTCATAGTGAAAAAGTGTGAAGTGTGCAGAATATGTGAACCTGAAATCACGTGATCTGTGTTGCCTTGGCACACTTATGTGTCTCAGTGCTGACAGTTTTCTCCATCAGTCACAATTACAAATGTCAAATTGTTGTAATTGTACTTACCTAAAATCACAGGAACGTACATGACTGATCAGAACATGGCTCGTTTTAAGCCAGTTTGGTAAAATGTAGTTGTTACCCACTGCAAATTACAATGATCTTCATTGTAAATAACCACAGGTCGTTAGACATCCATTTGTAACCTTGTATTGGAAAAGATAATCGAAAATCCAGTTTTATCAATAAAACATACTAATTTTGGTTTAGAGAATTTCTCCAGTGCATTTTCTGCCATTCCAAGCACCAAGATTGCATTTATAGAAAGTTTTCTGGAGCTTAGTATTGCTTTTGATATACATGAGTGAGTTTGTCTAGAACTATATTAATTGATCTTCCCCATCTCAGATTATGGAGCATACAACATCTCTCTCTCACTGTTTACTAATGACACACAGTTTTATACTTCTGTGTCACCACGTCATCAGAGGTGCTTGCAGTCACTAAGTTTTTCCACAGTATTTGTGTTGGAGTTTGATACTCAACTAAGCTTAATGAGGCTAAACACCAGAGGCCATCTAATAAACTTAGGTGTCATTATTCACTCAGAGGTAAATTTTAATAGGTCTATTACCAAAGAACGTAGGCTTAAGAAACTCATTATCATCTTAAACCATTTATCACAATGAAGACTGTCTTGTCAAAAGTACAAAAATGCCTGACCTGGAGAAACTGTCATGATCTTTAAATCAGAACTGAATTTTCTTAATTTTTTTCTTTTTACTTGTCTTGGTCATTTATTTCTCCCCTTTGTTTCTTTATTTTCCTGATCTTTAAATAACCTTGTGTGTAATCAGAAGTAAACTCACATTGCCAAGACATTTATGCAAGTAATCATTCAATTTGGGTGTGAGCAAATGTTTAATTTGTAGGCTAGTATTTGCAAAAAAGTGCTACCTACTGGAGTTAAGATATTAACTACTCATAACCTCTTAACATAATCCCACTTAAAAAGTATGAATTACCACCATAGAAAAGCTGAAAGAATTTGATGCATTATGAAACGTCTCAGAATTACAGCTACTGGCCACAATTACCCAAATGGTTATGGGTAATAGTGGTAAACACACCCCTGTTGTTAATTTTTTGGAAAAACATTCTAACTCCAAGAGGATTTAGACGTGGATAAAACCAAATTCCCCGTAGAGTAATTCTCAGTTTGTTTCTACATGGTGTGTGCGTCACTGGCTTAATGTCTGATTATAGCTGAAAGATAAGAGAGCATAGTAAAGACATTTTTTATTTGCACTTAATGAGACCCAGTAATGCCAAATGTTCACACCATTCCCAATTACTGTGCAAACAGCAAGAGCTGCACTACAGAAATAATCCTCTTTAAAGGACATATTCTGCTCAGACTATGTGGGTTCATTCGCAATCATTTACACAACTTTGTGCTTCATTGCAGTGACGTTGAAGTCAGCCAGTTTCCTCAGATCTGTTTGTTTGATTATATACTTTTCCTAATAATCTGCTATACTTTAGTATCAGCAGATCCTTTACATGTCATCCTGTCTATGAAGACGGCCCTGAGATCACCATGATGAAAATATTCAGTACCTGTGCCACGCTCGTACTCCACACAAACACCCTCAAAGAAAACGTCTCTTGAAGTATTCCCCTTTGTCCTTCTTCTCTCTGCCCATAAGCTCAGAATACTGGCTGAACCTAACTAACATCTTATAAACTCATCATTGTAACCGGATCCTTTAGGAGCAGCTTCAAAATTTCTTAAATGCACTTTTTCCATTATTTAGGATGCACAGGGTGAGGAATGTTTCTTTGGTCTATTTTTAAAAATAACTTAAGCCTTTTTAGCTTACATACTGTGCTAGTAGGAAGGTTACAGTGGATATAAATCTCAGTTTAATTACATTCTTTATTTACTTATTTTTTTGTATTGCAAAGAGTCAAAATTATAAATATAAGCCTAAATGTATTTGAATCCCCTGTGATATTTGGTTAAGTGTCTGTGAGTGTGTTGCAGACAAACCTCACACTATCAACTGTGTTCTAAAATAATTCACACTGGCAATTTGACTTATGGTGTTATAAAATGAATAATAGTGGTATTATTAATTTGGTTAGTTTAGTAAAATTATCTTTGCTTTTCAGCATATGGCTTGCATGTAAACATGCAAGCCATACCAAGCCTTCCTGGAAGCGTGAACTGTGTTGAAGTTTTAAATATTATCCAATTGCCAACGATTGGCCATAAATAATGTAATGCACCAATTTGACAAAGCTGATTGAAAACTACAAGCACTGTAAACAGCAATCAATAAAATGTCTTGTATATTCTTCATGCTCCAAGAAGAATATACAGCAAGTATGGCCAAAAATTGGCCACACTTCCAAAATTTGTTCAATATTTGGAAGTGTGGCCAACATGGACTGAAAGGCTTCATTCACGTCCTCTGCTACCTTTACCAAATTACAACCCTATGCAGGCAGACTACAAATCTAAAACAATGCAGACAGTCAATTTTTCTCAACTCCTCCTGTTGGCTGATTGACCCAGGTGAAACGAGCAAAGAAAAGAGATGAGATTCAAGTGGAATTGCATAGGAAGGCAGTGGCCAGGCTAGTTGAATGTCTGCCTGTCTAATCCATTCTAAAACATTTCTGAATGTGCTTTTATGACCAGAAACTGTTAAAACAGCAATTTGTGTTGAAATAACACAAACTGTTACCCTTCGATAAAAGCAGATTTATTAGGATGTTCAACAATAACTCAATGAAGCAATCAAGGCTCAAGTCAACCATAAACTGGAAGCTGCTTCTGTGTCACCATGTAAAGTGAAGTGAGTCTGACATCATCAAAAAAGAATCACTTGCTCCAAAACTGTGTCTATAATTCACATCTCTCTACACATACACAAACAAATTATCTTGTGGGGAAATGTTTTATGGTCAAATGAAATAATTTTTTACCTTTCTGGTCAAGATGAGGCTTGGATTCAGTTTCAGTAAAACTGAATCCATTCTGAAGCATGGCGGTGGTAGCATTGGTCTCTGAGTCTGTTTTAGTGCCAGTGATATTGATGCATTGAACAAAATGGTTGGAAATTAGTCTACTTCACCTCACATCAACAGATTGATGGTTTAACATGGGAAAGAGTTTGGTCTTCAAACTGGACAATGATCCAAACCCATCAGAACTGGTTTTTGGAATGAATCATACTGGATACCATTAAGCTTCTAGACCTCAACCCCATTCAAGCTTGCAGACTTTTCCTAAAGGTTGGGTCTCTGCCAGCGAACCAAACAATCTGAATGAGTTCTACTAAATCTGTCAAGACCAGTGGTCAAATATCCAGCTTGAGTTATACCAGAAGCTTGTTGATGACTACAAAAAGCTTGTGGTTTTTCTGTAAGTTTCAAGGGACATCTGTCTAAATATTTGCAGGGATGTATATGTACATTCACACTTGCCTGTAACCGAAGAAAAGAACAATTAAAAACTCCCGAATCAGCGTATGTAAAGTTTATATTAGTGCTGCATGCTGTATTTTCTTGAATAAGAGAGATTCGGTGTGGCGATGTAAAGGGAAGGAGACAGCTGTCGGAATGGCTGCAGCCTTTGTGGAGCACAGAAGTGCATCAGGTCTTTCTGCCTTTGTAGCAAGATGACTGAGCTCCCCTGATTGACTCTGACAGGCAGTTAGAGCGAGTCCAAATGGAGAACATTCTCTATGATCAGCTGTCACCCATCGTTAATCACACTCCCGCTTTATCTCTCTCCTGCGTGCTCTTTTAATCTCTGCCTCGGCGCTCGTACGGCTCTCCCTCTTTCCCCTGAAAACTTCTCCGGCTCACTCACGTCAGCCTCCCCTCCTCTACTACTTCCCCTCCTCTCTTGTGTTGATTTTAGACATGACACGAGGGCACGGTTCTGATGAGGACCCACCAAAGCTTACAAAACGACATTATATCCACCACATGTGTTTTACAATGCTTCCCTTGAGGTTTCCTTGAAGTTCTCTGCTCTCTACAGTTGGTAACTGTGTGGAGATTTATTGCTCAAGCCTGAGAAGGAAATGAATGCAGCATTTGTGCCACTTTAATGGGGGTCTGATCGTGTTAGAACAAATAGCCTAAGCCTCTTTCTATCAAAGTGTGCCTGTGTGGAGAGTTGGGGAAAGCTGTGTAATTACTGACCAACATCCCCTTTCCAGATGTATTATGCAATTTACTGCCTGAATCACTCTTTTCAAACAACATACATGAAACATTACCTTGCAAAAGTACTGACTTTTGCTGTTTTGTTGGGTTTCTTTATGTGATAGACCAACACAAAGATGGATAAACTGTGAAATCAGAGGACAAATTATGATTTAAAAAATGTTTTAAGCCTAAATAAAGTGTGAAATGCATTTGTATTTGTAATTTAGAGCCTGAAAAGTTTGCCAATTCTTTGTAAAATTGCTCAAACTCAGTCAGATTTGATTAAGACCATCTGTGAGCATCGACTCTCAAATCTTGCCATATTTTTAATAGATCCATATATACACATAATTGTTGGTACCTTTCTGTTCATGATCAAAAACCCCCACAATGGTCTCCTAAAAAACTTGAAATGACCAAAACTGTATTGAAAATGAACCAATGAAAATCAGGCATTCCCTTTGAAAAATGGCTCAATGGAATCATAAAAAAATAAATAAATAAACTAATGAAATAGACTTGGACAAAAATGATAGTATCTTCAGAAAGTCATTTGTCCACAGGGACATTTTAAAACTTAAGTGTGTTCTCTAATTAGTCAGTAAGCTTCTGTAATTCTCTGATCTCAGCTGAATTAAATATGTTTGGCCAACATTTAAAAGCCTCATCAGTTCCAGAAAACAACCCAGTTCCTTCATTCGTGTTCGTGGGGATGTATTTAGTTTGAGCTATAAAAGGTGACAAGTAGTCACTGTACACTTTGGTGACATGGTGTGTGTAGCACACTGAACAGGAACCACGGGAAGTGACGAGGAGAATTGTCCCAGGAGATCAGGAAGGAAATTATAGACAGGTATTTTAAAAGTGAGCGTTATAAGACCATCTGCTAACAGTTTGATGCTTCTGTGACGACAGTTGCACATATTTTTCAGAAGTTGAAGAGCAGTGGGACTGTAGCCACTGCAACCTCCGTGGCTGTTATTGCATATGGAAAATTGATTACAAGTTGAAGAGAAGGATAAGAACAAATGCTTCCAATCATTTTTTTCTCTGGGTGATTTTATTAGTTTATTTTTTTAAATGATTCTGTTGAACTACATTTCAAAAGCAATGTCTGAGTTTCATTGTTTTCAATAGATTTTCAGTAATTTTTTTATTATTGTTACTATTGTCAGTTTCAAGTTATTCTGGTTTTTCGGTCATTAGAATAGAATAGAATTCAACTTTATTGTCATTGCACTGTCACATGTACAAAGCAACGAACTGTAGTTTGCATCTATCTAGAAGTGCTATACAGGATATAAAAGTACATGGGGGTTCCAAGTATTTTGTTTGTGTGTATCTTTCCATCAGCATGATGCTGTCTCCATGATTTATCATGGGGATGTTGTGTTTAATGTGGTTTGAAATGTTAATTTGAAAAATAGGTACATGTCATTGCACCGGCCTCAAGAACGTTTAGTTTGGATGTACTTGTTCCACATGACTGCCGTGTTCCTGCATGCCATTTGATAAACTTTAACTAGGACTTTCCTTAGCTTTCTTTATCTGGTGTTGATGTACCAGATAGTCCCAGTGAAATAAACAGATGTTTCTAGTATGGTGAAATATGAACAATCTTACGGGTTCTGGAGACATTAAGGAACTGAAAGTTTATCTTATGACATTTGGACTTGAATAGGCAATATTGCATCTTTCTTTTTTTTTTTTTTTCTTTTTTTTCCATTTGCTGAGCTGGAGGAAGCCAACTTCCAACAGTCAGATTATCATACTCAAAGTCAGCAAGATGTTTTCGTTTTCCAGTTCAGTCAGGCTCTAAAGTGTAAAGGAGCACCAAAACAAACAACTTGCCGAGAGGGGAATGAAAGGCATACTGTTGGGAAGCACAAACATGGCTGCTTCGATTTTGCTCGGAATGCCTTTTCCTGCAGGATGTCTGGCTGAACGCCAGCCGATAAGAGGCGTTCAGGCGCTGTAAGCGAGGAACGAGTGAGCTTGCTGAACAGATGAACTGGTGGACTCCTCAACCGTGAATAATACATATGTCAACAAACCAATTACCACCAGGGTTTTAGTGAGGTCATCTGACGAAAACTCTTCCTGGTTTGACATGTTTTTAATGTTCAGACATGGAGAAGACACTGTAACAGCTGCTTCTTTGTGTCTCTCTCCAGGTTTTCCTGCGTACAGCAGGCTGTTCCAGGTCCAGGAGCCCTCCCACAGATGACACGAAGAGGATCTAGGGCACGTCCTGCCGTTCTGCAGGCCTGACAGGTGTCTGTGCATGTAACCACATCTCACAAGGTGATATTCTGGGAAAGGACAACAGATTAAAGTATGCCTAACATTGAGTAGTATGCTATTAATTCATCCAGCGTGCTGCCATAGACATGCGAGGCCAAGAACTCCAAGCTTTGACGCAGGTTGGGATTTAGTTGCACAACTCCAGGCCCGCCACCCACCCCAAACCTTCATCGCCCTTGACTTCTGCCAGTCTACATCTGAGCAGCTGCCCGCTCTCATTCCCTCCATGCCACCAAAGCCACAGGAAGGTTTCACTGACAGATAGCCTTCAGCATATGGGTCCACAAAACCTGTTGGAGTGTGCACCTCTGGCTGGGTAACAACATCTCTTCAACCAAGCGACAAAAAAAAAAAAAATACAGCCAGACAAGCATAATGAGAGAGTTTTAGTGATTTTTGTTTGACAAGCGTTGTTAGCGCTGAATAAGTAGCTTCTTGTGTTACGGCAGCACATGGTGAGCATGAAAGTACCTTTCATGTGAGGCTTCTAACTATTCTGAAAGCCATGCAGCTGCCAAATCTCTGCCCATTGCCTGAGGACAAGTAAAAGTATAGCTTCCTGCAGCTTGTAAGCCGAAACATTCAGATAGCTTAAAAGGATATCCGAAGGGGTGCTGCCTTGTCTCCTGTTTTTGAAGAGTTCGCAATTTAACCTGTAACTTTTGTTGTGAAATGTAAAGATGTTGATATTCTTCACATGGATGGATTAAATTAAATGTGGAAATTATTGTCATTATGCATTTAATTTATTCTGTAAAAAAAAAAAAAAAAAAAAAAAAAAAAAAAGCAAAACTTGAATCAAATTTTTGGCAAATTTCTGTTCTAAAACCAACAAGACATTGCAAATAGGGTTATTTATGGATTAGCAGTATTGCTACTAGTCCTAGTAGTTCTTCAGGGTTTTTTTTATTTTTTAGATTTTAATTTTTCAGATGTTGGCTGCTTTTTACTCGTATGCACTGAGTAGTTGACTTTTTCAAACAAATATTTCTTCTGCTCTTTCTTATGAGTCATTCAGCCATAAATTCACCGTTAAACTGAAAGGACAAAGAAGTGTTGTGTCTTCATAACATACAAGTTGGTAAAGAACCAATTTTGACTTAGTTCTGTGAAGACTTAGTCACCAATTCTTGGCTCACAGTGGATAATACATCTCTCAGGACATTTGTCAAGTTTTTACTGGATCTTTTTCTCTTGTTTCTTTAGATTTCAAAAAGTTATTTAGGCCTTACACTTCTTCCGCTTAACGTTCATCCACGCTTCTCAATCTTTAAAGAAACAATGCCACCTTAACCATCAGGATCAAATACAGAAAATGGCTAAAATCCAAAGAAAGTTTTTCAGAAATCCTGAAATATTATAAATCAGAACCACTTTGGGAAGTCAAGTATGAAGAAACACTGCAGTGGTTTAAAATATTCCACTGTATGATAGTTTAATTCAAAACATGCAGATCTAAAATGTTTTACAAATATCCCTCTAACTTTCTCTCACATCTTTTTGTCACGAGTAGAAAAAAGTGATGCATGGTTCATGGTGTGTTCTTTTTTATTCTGTCCCTTTACTCAGATTCTCCTAAATAAGATCCAGTGCAACCAGCTAACTGCCTTCAGAAGTCTTCTAATAAGTAAACAGAGTCCACTTGCATATAATCTCTTTGTAAATCCAAGCAGTCTGTTAGAGATTTATTAGACTTTATTAGTGAGCAAACTGAGTTGATGTGGAGATGGATGGAGCTAAATGCTGGCCAATCCTGGAATAAAAAAAGACTTTGGACTGGGGTGAAGGTTCAGTGTCCAGCAGGACAACAAAACTCAACATGCAGCCAGAGCAGCAGTGAACCGGTTGTAGATAAAAACAATATTCACATGTTTAAAATAATGCAAAGTCAAGATGTTCGTCAGACTGTGAATCTGTTGTTCAATCTCACTGAGCTACTTTGCACAAAGGAATGGGGGGAAAAAAAAACTAGTTTCTCTAGCATAGATGTGGTTTTCCAAATGTGAACCATGCATCTCTTGCTTTCCATTTTACAATTATGCACTTCTTTGTGTTGGTCTATCACATAAAATCCTAATAAAAACATTTAAATTGTTATTGTAGCGTGACAAAATGAGAGAGAATTCAAGGGGTATTTTACAAAGTACGTATTGTAATTATTGTACTTGGGAGCACATGGAGAGCTCAATCGAAGTTTTATTGTGGAGTAAAAGTCACTTTCTGTTTGACGACCGAAATACTTGAATTTTGTGCAACATTTTCTCTGACGGTTATTTTGCACAGATTGCAGTTTTCAAAGCTGCGCAGTAATGTAATGGATTGTTTTTGTGACATGTGATGAACGCCGTGTTGCATATTTATTACCCTTAAAGCCAGCGCAGGCATGTTACAAGTCTTGATGTTGTTCTGTGATGTGTTTTCCATAAGCAGACCATAGCATAAACACTGGATTAAATATCAATAAATAAACTGTTCATGTATTTGTCCAAAAATGATAAAGAGCTGTCCGATTGTCATTCTTTAATTAAAAAAAAAACAACAAAAAAATGTGTTTTCATGAGTAATAAAAACATTTACAGTTTGTGATCTAGTTGAGTTCATTTAGTGACATACATCAGCTCATATAACAGAAAGGCTTCACTTTTAAAATGATCCCTGGAATCACCCATGCTGTTGCATTACAGAGGTAAACATGACCACAGCATTACTAAGATGAAATAACGATTAGATTCCAGCATGTTTTCTTTTTTTTCCATCCCTATTATCGTTTTTATTATTCAGCATGAACTCCTCAACAGACAGTGTGGGGAACTGTGGCGTGCACAGTGCAGCTTCCTGGTTGGATTTCATGTCATGTCCCAAAGTTTTCCTCCCTGCTAACAGATCACCATCTCATCCTACCGGTTTTCAGCTCATGCTGAGTCCAGTTCGCATTCTCAGTCTCGTCTTGGTTGCATATGTTTATTGTCCTTGAGATTTCTAATGAGAAGGTTGTTCTTGTTCCTCATTCAGTGAAAACAAAAGTCATGTGAGGTACAGGCTTTTCAAAAATGCTGCAATAGTTAACAGGACAAACACAAGTAATACTGATGTAAGTCATGGTGGGAGTGGTCTCTGATGACTTCTAGTAAATGGAGATCGGTGGATTGCTTTTTCCTCTTGGGCAGGGCTGGAGCGGAGGCAAAGGTTGGGGTTGGGATGGGGGATCGTGGAGGACAAATTGCATCCTGCCCAATTAAAATTCCTCCGTGGCGTCCCCTCTCTGCGGGGTCCCTGAAGCTTAGCTGCACTTGCAGGACTTGACGACCATGTTGGAGAGCTGCTCGACTTTCGGTGAGCGTCCCACATAGTAGAGGATGGTGAGGGGCTCCAGGTCCTGAGGAACGCAGCAGGGTGAGGCGGAGGCTTCTGGGTTCAGGGTGTTGTAGAGGCTCAGCAGCTGTGGAGGGAAGGACAGCAGTGAGGCTTTTAAACTGTCTAGGATTTAAAGAAGCCCTGTAAAAGTCACCTGCCTTTTAGTTCAACTGCATGTTATTAATGGGGATTTCTGTTTTAGACCATCATAATGTTTTGTTTTATTGTGATGTGAAGGAAAAAGTATGGATATTTCTGCGTAGGGCTGAAACGATTAATAGTATTAATCTTGGTGAACCAATTATTGAAATAATCAACTGATTTAATTATTAACTTAAAGTATACACACTCAAAAACTGTATTGATGCAAAGTTGAGCAGAAAGGGCTGATGTTGAAAAGGTTTTTATTTTAGCTGCAGATGCATCCTGCCCTACACATGAACAAGCATGCACATTTGTATTTCTCACCTATTTTTAATTCATAAGTGTAAAACAAGCATAAGTGGTTAGTTCAATATTCTGCATTATCTGCCTTTTTTAATCAGATTAATTAATTAAGAATTAGAATAACCAAAAGTATAATTACTAAGATAATCGTTAGTTGCATCCCTAATTCTCTACAAATAGAAACCTCAAAAGGGTGCTATGCATTTGTTTTCATCCACTGAAATTTTTTCCTGAGATAAACCTCCAGTCTAGTCTCAGATTTTCTGCACCCTCCTGCAGGATTTCTTCACGTATTGCATCCATTTTCCACCATGTGTTAAGGTAAATGTGGTGGCAACATCTGGATCAGTGAGGCAGTTTTGTTTTTGTTATTTTTTAATTTTTTTGCCCAGGGTGCCAAACTTAGACTACTGACAGACCACAAAATTTATTACCTCAAAAATGAAAAACTGTTTGTTGTGACACTCAGAAACACAAAGCTATAAAATCTGAATATCAATTAAGGTCCAAAAATAGCTTTGGACTGCTGCCTTATTAAAAGAACAACAGACAATTTCCACATTTTCTGGGGTCATCAGTTGTGCTCTAGTTTGTTGCCCAAATGTTTGCTATTCTTGACTTGTGGTCAGGGGCCAAACAGCATCCAAGTGTGGCTCCAGGGCCACACCCTTAAGACACCCTTAATCTAGGCTAAAAAGTTACATTTAAATCTCATCTGACCAGAGAGCCTTTCACATGGTTTACTGTATCTCTTTCATCAAAATTATCTTCATAACTATGTATTTTATGTTGACCTATCTCATACAATTCCAATAAAATCCTCAGTTTGTGTGAAAAAGCAGCTGTAAAAGTCACGCTTGACTCACCGAACTGTGGGTGGTGTCTGCACTACGAAGGTAGGGACAGGGACCGGAGCAGTAGTTTGCAAAGTAGCCCTCGGGTTGATGGATCCACCGCCAGCCCAAATCCTGACGGAAATTAATATAAAGTGATCGCACACAGCAGTTCTCCTCGTAATTGCTGCAGACAAGAGGGAAGAGACAGGATTACGTTTGATTTCCAGGTGAAGCGATTTCATAGTTGCACAGACGTCCTCCCTGTGCCCTCAGTCGGAGTGAAGAGAGAAGTTCAAAAATTCCTCTCCTAGGTGTGCCCTTATTTTCCCTCTTGGAGTCAGCCCAGGTGTCTTTGGTGCTTTCCACTTCCTGATGGAGGAAGTGGAAAGCTGAGGAGACAGTTTGTAAGAGGAGGCATCGTTCACCGGGACAGATCCCGACTTGTATCAGGTAGTACCCATGTCATGCTTGTCTTGTTGATCAATAAGCTATATTTTGTGTGTTATGTGCCTGCAAGCATTTGAAATGTCAGTTGATATTCCCACTTTTGTGGCTTTGGCTCTTCCACTTCTTTATAACTTAGCCTCCTATCAGCAGAGAGCTTTTCAGCTGGTTCCAGTTCTCCCGATTTCAAAACAGGCACCACAGCCACACAGATTACTTTACAAAGTTTAACACAATGAACAATTGTGCGAGCAGCCTTTTACAATTTTCCAGAGAGAGGAAATAGGTCTTACTTGAAGCAGTAATTGGTGTCGAGTGCCCGCTTGCGCCTGCGGGAGGAGGAGTGAACGTCCAGCCTGTGGGGAGGAATCATCATGAGGATGAGGTGAGGGTACGGCTGCTCCTTCTGCTCCTTCTGCTCCTCCTGCTTCTTCTGATCGTTGTAGTCTCCTTCCATGCCTGCAGGAGAAAGTTAGGAGATTTATAAAGATAGCTTTGGTTCAGCAGGAGGATATTCTGCAGGCACAGCTTCACTCATTCCTGGCTCACTGTTTAATCCTTTCCCAGAGTTCCTTCACATTTCTCCTGTAAAACATCCAGACTTTTTCAGATGCACCAATTTTCCAGATTCCTCTGTCTTTTAAGTTCCCTT